TCTCCTCAGACACTAAAATGTTATAGCAGAATGGTTCCAAGAAAAATAATGTTATAAAATTATGGCTGTTTAACTTATATAATTAAATCCCAGAGACACTAAAAATTCATTTATGTCAAATATTAAGACAAATAAAGTATCTGTGGTTTTTTTTAAGGAAATAAAATGATTTCTCAAATATTTTCTGTCTAAAGAACATTATTGATTCTTTTTTCTGAGTTACAGTACAAGTTTATGTACTATAATTCTGGTCCAGAATCCATCCATGAACTCTTTCCTACTGATCTGGAGCTCCCTACAGCTTTGCATTCAATTAAGAAGTCAAATTCTTAGATTAATCTAAACCTGTTGGCCCTGTCCTCTGTGTATTTGGAAGCAGCAAGCCCTTTGCTCTGTTTGCTATTATTTATAACTGAAACCAAAAACAGCAAGCAAGAAATTGGCTTTCCCCAGGGAATTTTTCTTGTAGAAGCAATGAGTCCATTGCATTCAGCAAACGTTTGGTGGAGCCTGGCAGGGCCTGGGGGGAAGGGGGGGCGGGGCAGAGAGGGTAGGGCATAAATTGGGAAACTGCCTTGTACCAAGATCTATGTAAAGATGAATTTGAAAGGATTGAACCTTCTTGGCCTCAAGGAGTTTTCATTCTAACTGAGAATATAGATCCTAATACAAGCCACTATAACCAGTATAAATGTGCTTTTCTGAAGATATGTATGATATGTTATAAATGAAAACATGTATGAGAGAAAAATCTCATTTCAACATTAGTTTTTCCAACCATTATCATTGCTTCATCTCTTAATTCCAATGTCTGAGTTTAGACTTCCTAGTGCTTTATTTAAAACACCAAAGAAAAAATAATGACTGATATCTGCCTTTTCTACTAGCCATTAGCATATTGGAAATGTTCCCTGAAAATTAATCCAAATGACTTTCCAGAAACAAATTGTCTGTCTATTCTTAAACAAAGCTCTCTCTCTCTCTTTTTTTTTTTTTTTGCATGATTTGGAGGGAGTTGATTAGTAAAGCTTCTTTCACAGAGGTTTTTGATATTTCAAAGGTTGTTACTGAAGTTAATTAGAAACCCACAGGGCCAAAGGCAGTTGTGTGTAACCTGAAAATATGTGTTTGAGAATCCTGGGAGGGGACTGAAGTGCTGTGGTTCATGGAGATAAGTGGCATCCAGATGGCTCAAGGAGGCTCTGCCAGCGGAGTTACAAAAATCTAAAGGTGCTTTTAGAGAAAAGGGTAGAATGAAGAAAAAAAAAAAGTCCAGGAGTGAGGATGAGAGAGTGTGCAAAGGAGTTGACTGAGCAGCCATGGAGAGCTCAACTCACAGTGCCTAGGGTTTGTTAAACCTCAAACAGAAGGCTCAAGCCATGATTTGCACATAGAGTTTATGATAAACAATGGTAAACAATGGGATTGTGCAAAAATGTTTCTTTGAGCAAGGTGAATTGACTGAAAAGTGAGAGTGCAGCTAAGATCAGCACAAAGGAAGCTCGGTTGTTTAATAGGAAGAACTCTTTCTGTGTTTTAGACTTGGGAATATGCAGCCAAAACCCAAATCTATTCAGGAAATGATAATGCAAACACTCAACATTTTTGCACTATACGTCTCATAACTAAGGTGGCAGACATCATGGTATTTCTCTGTTCTCTCCCCCATAGCAAGATTTTAACCAAAAATTTCTTAAATGCTACTGGAACTATTTATGAAAGTATGTACTTCCCAACTTGAAAATCACTTTATTCATTCACCAAAGCAAGAATGTTTTCTTGGAATAGGAAACATCATCAGGAGCTCTACAGGCTAGGTTTATAGACCTCTTAGAGTATTTTACATCAGTGCAGTTGGGTTCTGAACAGGTGTGTCTCCCTGGAGTTCATTATCATTTTAAAGCAGTTCTATAATTGTGTACTCATCACATTAACCTGAATATCCTGTGTCTTCCAATCTAAGTGGAGTGAAAAAGAGTGCCATAAAAGATAGGCATTGTGTAGCCATGATTTCTGTAGTTATGTTGTGAGTCATTGTTCTGAGCAAGGTATTTGGACAATTTTCCTTTCTGTAAACCTTTAACTGGTTTTCCTAATAAAGCTCCTAAGAGCATTAGCCAAGACTGAAATGGCCTCTGTAGCTAAACTTTTTTTGTTGTTTGTTTTTTATTCACTAGACTTGGGTGATCTAAATGTCTCCTTGATAGGTCCTTATAAGCAGAAACCTTAGGGAAAGTAACCTCTCAAGTGCCCCAGAACATCTACTAACATATTGTGATGTCTGGAGACCTGTCACTCTCCACAAGTGCTTAAGTTCCTCAGAGTTAATTGACAGCCCTCAAGACTGATGGCTCTTACTAAACTTGGAAATAAATGACTCCTTAGATCTTCTACAGCTATGTTACATATCAGAACAGAAGATAGAAAAATAGCAAATTTCTTGATACTGTGACTGTCATAGAGCCACCAATTCCAAATCCCAGATCTGCATTGTTTTTCTAACTGTAAACAAAGAGTTTCTCTTGGCATTTATATGCAGTTTCTCTATGGCCACTGGTTCCTGTGTTGATGGAGGTTGTTTCTCTCTGACAGTTCTATAAAACGTGTCTTCAAACCGTACTTTATACTTTGTGTGTCTCTATGGGTACAAACTGCTGAAATCTTTACTTAGTATAGAGTTGATCTTCTGTACATAAGGTCAATTAAAAACGAACCTTAATGAAGAATGGGATGGGAGAGGGAGTAGGAGGTGGGATGGGAGTCAGGGTGGGAGGGCAGGAATGGGGAGAAGAGTCACTATACTCCTAAAAGCAAAAGCTGTGCATATGAAATTTATATTCATTAAATAAAAACCTTAAAAAAAAACCCACAAAGTGGGTCATTGCTACACTGATTGCCATCAGTATAGCAGTAGACTTTCCAAAGACTCTAATCTAATAACTCCTTTCAGCCTCTACAAGGTTCCTTCAGTCTGCTGCACGAACTTGTGTAAAGTTTTGTTTGCAGGGTAGATTGTAAATCTGTTACATTAAGCTCAAAATTTATGTACTCAAAGTATCCCAGTTACTAAAACAGTAAGAAAGAAAATTTTCTCATAAACATTCATGATCAAATTAAGCAGTAGATGAGAACCTATTTTGGGCTCAATGCTGATCTTAAATATTGGCCTTGCCACATACCAGTGGTACATCTTGAACCCGTTAACATTTCAAACTCTTTCTCTTTGAAATAGAAGTGATGATTCTGCTTTCCTCACGGTGTTGTAGGGATTAAATGATTTAATTCATATAAAACCCCTGTTAGATTGCATGGCAAACAGTAAACACTGTATAAATGTTTGCTGCTATTATTTGATTCCTCTGCTTTATTATAGACACTGTGTTATTAATTTGTGATCCCTAATAATTAATACTTTATTAACTAAAATGAGTGTGTGAAGGTAAATTTCCCCACCTCATCATTACTCTTAGATACAATTGGCCTTATCATTCATATATGTGCATATATCCATATGCATTCCTGATGATGCTACTTCGTATGGTATCCAAAATTCCTCATGATTTGTTTGCAGAAGTATCAGTATGTATGGAACCTCGTGTCTCCTGAGTTTTATGAATGAGATCTTAACTTGCATCTTCTTGGCAAGAAACTTTTTACAACAGTCCCCAAATCAGTGATTAATTTGCTCATTGATTCATCTAACTGACCTAGAATACTTTACACAAAGCTGGCTGATGGAACAATAACATGAAAAATATATGATGCCGCTAGAATTCTTTTCTGACTTTACCTCTCTTTTGATTTCAACAAGGTAACAGCCTCGTTTGTCTTTCCAATCATAGTCAGCTCCATTACTCGTGAGGCTCATTATCTTCAAGAGCTATACCAACCTGCTTCCAAGCATCCATCACCATATCCTTGTGTCCTTTATGTTCAGTAGCACAATGCAAAGATTTCCTGTTAAAAGAAAGCTTTAGTTGCAAGCTGTTCATAACAAACACCCAGCACAAATGTTAACCAATGTTAATTTTTTTCTGTATGTCCAAGGTTTTACCTGTATTAGTGAATGCAGCCAGAAATTTTTCATTCAAATTTTGTTCACTGTTCAAAGCTTTCATTCTGTTTTTAAAAAATAATCTTTGTATAATGGCGCAGTTTGATCTGCTCAGTTTTCTTCTTCCTGTGTCTTGTCTTCCCAGGGGAAAGGTTAAGGACGTTGCCACTCTAATATTTTCTCTCCTCCTAGCTTTCAAGGTCTGAATGAAATACGTGATCTCTTTTATGAGATAGCTGAATCCATTTTGGCCTGAACTACTTGATCTAAAATAATGCTAAGCTTCATATTTGTCCATGGCTCTCTTCCCAAAATTTAATCCCTAAAAAAGTTGAAAAACTCTTTTCTTCCTCTCTTCATAGAATCTTTAGAGACAAACATGTCTTCTAACTACCCCATGCTCGGCACAGTGTTTATTGAATAGTTCCAGCCTAACTAAAAAAAAATCTACTTACATGTCTATCTACTTAAATGTCTTAAGTCTGAGGTTTTATAGCAAACATCTTTTTCTGATCCCAAAACCCATGTGCAGCCCATTTTCATACAATTCAAAAGAGGAAGGCAATAGAAAAAATATTTCCCAAGTTAATAACATGTGGAGGCACACATTTCTATAATACATTAATGAAGCTGTGTGAGAAGTGCCAAAAATAAACCAAAGCTATAACATCTTCCCTGAGAGAGTCCTAGGGGTGCAATTGCTGTTAATAAAGAACACGATGATGGTTGACCTTCTGATACACCATTACTTGTCCCACTTAGGAGTTCTCTGCATTCATGCAGGACTTAACCTAGAAACACCTTTAGGAACCTGATGATAAGTTAATGTCCATGCACTTGTAACTCTAGCTTAATTAAGATATTTGACCAAGGAGTTGTAAGATATATTATTTAAATACATATTATTTTGATAAATACTTACATGTTTGGTTTGTTTCTCATACAGGGACCTCCAGGATTGCAAGGAATACAACAGGCTTTTGATGAACATTATAACAAGGTATGGCTTATAAAAAAAAAAAAACTTATATACTAGAGATTTTATGTGATAATATTTTTGGGGAAGGCCGGCGCCATGGCTCAATAGGCTAATCCTCCACCTTGCGGCGCCGGCACACCGGGTTCTAGTCCCGGTTGGGGCGCCGGATTCTGTCCCGGTTGCCCCTCTTCCAGGCCAGCTCTCTGCTATGGCCAGGGAGTGCAGTGGAGGATGGCCCAGGTGCTTGGGCCCTGCACCCCATGGGAGACCAGGAAAAGCACCTGGATCCTGGTTCCTGCCATCGGATCAGCGCGGTGCGCCGGCTGCAGCGGCGGCCATTGGAGGGTGAACCAACGGCAAAGGAAGACCTTTCTCTCTGTCTCTCTCTCTCACTGTCCACTCTGCCTGTCAAAAAAAAAAAAAGTTTGTTAAATGATGAGCTAACTAATTCAAAATCCCAATCCTTTCTTCATCAGATTAAGGTTGACATAAATACCTAAATAACTAGTCATTGATAAATCAAAATAAAATTTATAGATGAAGTGTTATACTTTTTAATTTAAAATAGCAATCCTATCTTAAATTTTCTCCCTTATTTAGATCTTCCATGGAATATTATACTATGAAGAATGTATATTTTTCTAATTCTTTATTAAACAATTTAATAGCTCTACATCAGCTTTTAGAAACTTGGGACTTGGCACAAGTAAAAAGAACACTGAAGCATGTCTAAATTTAATCAATATGATAACATTTACTGTCAGAAAATAGGATTTATCATAAATGCTTTAAAATAATGAGAATAAGTTGGCTCTAATGCCACAGTGTCAGCTAGAAAAACTTAAAGAACACTATATTACTATCACCCTTGGTATAAAATTTACTAAGTTGCTACTCAGCTACTTAAATATTTGCTATCCCTAGCAAAACTTTTAAAGCTCATATCTTTACAGGTCTCACAAGGCACTTCTGTGTATAGTTTATTTTACCGATGAGTCAGTTTTCCCTTAAATGAAAATGTACGGAGCATTTATATTTTAGAGTCTGAAGTGAGAATGTACATTCTTTTTTTTTTTTTTTTTTTTGACAGAGAGAGACAGAGAGAAAAGTCTTCCTTTTTGCCGTTGGTTCACCCTCCAATGGCCGCCGCGGCTGGCACGTCGTGCTGATCCGAAGCCAAGAGCCAGGTGCTTCTCCTGGTCTCCCATGGGGTGCAGGACCCAAGCACTTGGGCCATCCTCCACTGCACTCCCTGGCCACAGCAGAGAGCTGGCCTGGAAGAGGGGCAACCGGGACAGAATCCGGTGCCCCGACTGGGACTAGAACCCGGTGTGCCGGCGCCGCAAGGCGGAGGATTAGCCTGTTGAGCCACGGCGCCAGCCGAGAATGTACATTCTTAAACTTTAGCATTTAGCAAAAATGAAAGCTGACTGGAGCAGCCAAGTGGAGAGTCTTGGTACTAACAAACCAGTACTTTGAACCTAGCTACTAACTTACCAAAAAATAGCTCCCAATACCATTATTGCCATTACAGAATTGAAGTTCACACTATTTAGTACACATGTGCCCCCCACGGTGACTTAAGAGATGAAGCATAACTGGATAAGAAGAGAAACTATAGATTTTTTTCATAAGCAATGCACTAGAACCATTGGCATCTAAAGAACTTAGACCACCTCCTCTCACCCTCAACTTCACAGAGGGCCCTAAATTTGCCAAGATGAGCACAATGCATGCTGTCACTTGGCAGTGTCCCCACTACCCTTCTGTTTTTGGATTTCTATGTTGTTTCATTTTGCAACTTATTGCAAGCCTATTCAGCTGGCTGTAGCAAGCGAACACAGAGATTGGAAGGAGTGGGTGGAGGAGGGAGCAGTGGGTGAAACTTTCCTGGAGGTTAAATAACCAACCATGTATTGAGACCTATAAAGTGACACTCCAAGGTTAAAATAATCTTCCCTTTTAAATTGGCATTGATTTATGTAATATCTGCACTGGAGCCCCGGGGCCTCAGCGCCTCAGCTGGCAGCAGCTCCAGCGGTCACAGCCCAGATTCTGCTGCAGCAGCTTCCCAGGAGAGGGTGAGCAGCACGGCACTCATGCAGCCGCTTCCCGTTCTAAAGCTAAAAGAGCTGTAGTTCAATGTCTCATCCCCAGAATCCTCAGTTGCCTGTTGATCTTTTCCCCTACAATGTTCCTGTGCCATTGGGATGGAGTTCGACATAAGACACCCCCTTCCCTCCTAGCACACATGAAAAAGGGAAAAGGAAAGCCAAAAAGGAAGTGAGATATGGAGAGACAGACCAAGGAGAGAGGTTGGGAAGATTACACGTGCATAAATATGTTTATGTGTGCTTTGCATGGCCACTTAGGGCTGCAAGGAATAAAGGTGGAAGATTTCTCTCTCCACCACAGCACAGCGTGCAAAACAGCTGCTCCCATTCTGCAAAATTGTTTGCAAAGAAGCAACAGTGCTGAGCAGATTCTTTCTCATAAGAAAAATCAGCCCGTGATCCAGCCAACTGGTATTCATTGTCTTCAGCCCTAGGGATTTTAATAAAAATTTGATAGGGTCTGTCAACTAAAGCCATTAGCTCCAGAGGTCCTTACAACACCCCATGTGGCAAGAACAGTGTTATCTGTGGAGGCCAAGTACTGGTAGATTTTACATTTGATATTGTGTTAAAGATTTACATTGAAAATGCATAGTTGTGTTATCTTACATCACCACAAGGTCTCAGCTGGTGATTGATGCTGTGCCTGCCAGCAACCAATTCTAGTGTTCACTTCTCCAAATTGTTGATCCAAGAAACCCAATTTGCTAGCAAAATAATCTATTTTTTCTCTCGTGTGTCAAATCATAACTTCATTTTAATATCCACAGACTAGAAAGGACAAAATCTTTATCCCAATCAAATAATCAATGTCTTTGCAAGCAGTGAGTTAAGCCCAAAGACAGTATATAAAGCAGCTAAGAGGCCTTCCTTGCCGACACCATAGGCAACTCTTCCAGACCCAGAAGATTTAGAAATACACCTTAGGTCTTAACTTGCTGTCTGTCTCTCTCTCCCTCTCTCCCTTTCTCCCTCTCCCCCGGCCACTGTCTCCTCAATTCTCTCTTTCAATACTCTCTTTCTCTCTCCCCTTCTCTCTCTCCCAATATCTTTCTTCCCACATCCCCATCTCTCTCCCTTTCCACCCCTCTCCCCCCCTCCCCCTCTCTCTTTCCCTCTCTCTCCCCGTGCCCAGGATCTACTGGTTTGGGGGAAACATTGTGGAATTAGGCACAGACACAAGAACTTTGGGTCCTGCTTTGATTATTGAGAGCTCCAACATTCATCTATGCCCTCCTCCCTTTTATGACCCACCATACTTGGGAGTTATAAAATGTTCTGCTGGCAACTGTGAGGTTGGACTTTGAATCAGCCTTGGATCTTTTTTCAACTGAGCACAGCCTTCTCAGCCATATAACACGTTTTAACTTTCTAGGGCTACCAGAACAAAATATCACACACTGAGTGGCCTAAAAACAAGTATCTGTTGTCTCATAATTCTGAAGGTTGGAAGACAGCAGGACCATGGTCTCTCTGAAAGTTCTAGAGAGGGATGGATTCCAGCCTCTCTTCTAGCTGCTGGGAGTTCCCTGGTCATGAACACAGGGCGTTATCCTTTTGTGCATTTGGATTAGGAGCCTACCCTACTTCCTCTATGGTCTCATCTTAATTCATTATATATGCAATGATTCTATTCCTGAGTAAGTCTACATTCCGCAGTACTAGCAGTTAGACTTCAACATTAAGGGTTGGGGAAGACAGAGTTCAACCCATACCTAGGTTGTTTTAACTTTATGTTCCCCCATACCTTGAATATTATGGCAAGTTCTCCAAGGGCTGAACTGGAGGGTTTTCATTGACCTCACATCCTGGGAAGGAGTTCAAGTTCTTGGTTTTCTTTTATTCATTAAGCCATAGGAGATTGCTGATATTTCACTCGTGGGGTGGGAGGGTTCCAGAAATGGCCATCTCTTAGAGTTGAACGCACACATATTTAGACAGTTAGAGTAGCCTGAGTCTTCCCACTAGCCTGACCACAGGTTCCAAACTTCCATTCAGCATTTCCCAGAAGAAACAAAAGAAAAATGCTGACATCCCAGACTGCTTAAGATGAGCGGGAAGATTAGTGCCCCCTCCCCGAAACATACATGCCATGACCCTCACCACTTCACCACAATAATTTTTAATCAAAACTGTACAATTTATTTATTTAGAAGAATTACAAGAATTCTTAACACGGCAGCAGGATATAAATTAAACAAGTACAAATAGAAAAGCATCTGAAGCAAAGCCATAATTCCAGAATCGCATACTATGTCTCTTATTATTTCTGCAAAGCCAGTAGTTATCTAGTGCCATTAGCTTGGGGAAACTGGAGGAGGGAATCTCATGTGTCAGTGAACAAATGCTACTAAAGTTCAACTTTGAATCTGCCTCAAGTATTGATAACTCAGGAGTGCAGACATCACCAGAGGCCCCTGAGGGCCTTAATTAGATAGATTTCCTGGCAGAACCAGCAAGTGAAGCAAACACAGGTGTTCTAATAGGCAGTATAGGGCCCTGTTGCTTTTCTGGGTGTGAGAGCTACCAGAAAATCAACAATTAGGTACATTGATAGAAAAGTATGGTTCAGTGTTGCAGAGGCATTTCTTCATCCTAACTGCAACATCTCTGATGCCCTCTAGGTGGTTGGGGGTAAGGTGGGCTGCACTGGGGTATGCACTTACTGGAAGCATTTTGCATACTTTTCTGCTGTGCAATGAACTGGTAGGGGCCTTCCAAGCCAAAGACCATCTCTGTGCAGTTCATATCTTAGACAAAGGTATGTTCAAGTTTCTGCAAAAATGCCCTAACATGAATACAGCTGAGGAGAGATGTTGATGTTTTATGCTTATTGACTGATACCATGACCGAATGACTGGTATTTTCAGGAAATGTCTAAAATTTTTGTTTCTGTGGAGTTTGCATTCAAGCAACTGATGACTGTTTATGTATGTGTGTATGTCTGTTAGAGATTTAAATGTGTGGTGATAATTTATAACTTAGGATTTTGAAATTTTTATCTTCAATTTAGAGATCTCAAAACAAAGAAGGAGACATGATACTATTTGTCACAACATCAATAATAATGTCAATTATCAATTACTTGTTTTTATTTGAGTAACACAGATAACATGATAACACTTAAAATATCAAACTATGGCAATGGTGATCAGAATGTGTTCTATGTATTTTGGTTGTTTAAAAATCTCTGTACTTTAAAGATTTCTACTAATGTGTATTTTTAATCTGAACAAACTTTAGTGAATAAAACCATATGCATTATAATTATTGGCTTATTTACTCAACAAATATTTACTGAATGCTTCCTATATGTTAGGTACTGTGCTAGGCATGGGAAATTCAATTCCAGGTTATTATGGAGCTAAAATTCTAGTGCAAGAGATGAAAAACATGGAAACAATCACAAAAAAAAAAAAAGAAAACTCTAGGAATAAAGAAGGGAAAAATGCAATGTGTAACGAGAAGATGCGACAGGGAAACCTATACGGGAGACCCAGAAGAAGCTCCCATGAGTGACTGTTTATACATGTGGCCTGGAGGGTGACTAGTTGCTGGCCAGACTAAAAGGTGGGGACCACAAGTGGTAATCTAATGACAAAGACAGGAAGGATATTGGCCCATTTGAGGATCAGACAGAAGATTGTTAATGCTGGAATATCTGTCAAAGCACGGTGGCCCAGAAGACTCTGGGTATGAAAGCCACCAGAAAATTAACAATAAGGTATATTGATAGAATGGGAAAAGGAGCCAAGGTCATGCCTTTAAGGTTTTGAAGGAAGAATGGTAGCCTGTCAGGCGTTGAAGGCAAGTCATAGAAATGGAAGAGATTTGAGGAGACAGAGTCAACCTTGATTCTGCACGAAGAAACAAAGATGAAGGTGTTAAGAATGACACCCAGAGTAAAGGAAAAGAGCTCTATGTAAGGGAGAGGATGAGTCCAGATTTTTTCTTTCCTTGATTTTTTTTTCAATTGTAAAGTAAAATTACTGATCATCCTAATATGATAAATAGCACAGATATGTTAAGAAGTTATTATCATTCCTCTACTTCTAGACGAGCCAATGTTAATAGTGTGATGTGATTCTCTTTTTCTCTCATACATGAGTATGTTGTATATTCTAGGTTTAGATTTGAACTTGTTGAATATGAATTGATTCTAGAAGTTAACAACTGAATACATCAAGCAGAAAATTATACATATGGGTTTAAAACTCAGAAGTGAAGTATTCACTGAGTAAACAAATTTGCTTTTGTCTAAATGATGCCTAAGCCATGGGAATAAGATAAGAGTGCTGGGAAAAAGCATCGAGTCACAAGAGAGGAGAACCTAGACAGAGATTCTGAGGAAGCCCAAAATTTGATAGATGGAGGAGGAATAATAGTGGCCATTGAGATAGGAAGAAAACTGTAGAGAGAGATATCATATAAGCCAAGAGAGGCAAGTGCAGCCAAGAGGTCAATTAATGAAGAATCTATTAGATGTGCAACAAAGAGATCATTAATAACATTAGAGAGCCATTGAAGTAGAGTGGTTGGGGCAAAAGCCAAATTGCTCTGAGCACGGGAGTAAATGGGAAATGAAAAAGTGATGTGGAAGCAAAAATTGTACCTCAGGAAGTTAAACAGGCAAGGAGGAGGTTATTCAAGACCATTGCAATAAGGGAGAGAAGCCAGACTCTAAACGCAACTCCAATGAAATGAAAGCTGGAGGATTTTTAAGTGCTGAAGTGAGAAAGAGGCCACAAGATAGAGTAGGCTCTTGTGTCCATGGATTCAACCAACCATGGATCAAAAATATTTTTTCTAAAACATGTGTCTGTACTGAACGTGCACACTTTTTTCTTGCCATTATTCCTTAAATAATACAGTTTGACAACTCTATATAACATTGTATTAGGATATAACAAAGGGTCTTCAAAGTTCATAAAAAATGAATATTGTAAAAGAAACTATACAGAAAGAAAGAGAGACAGAAAAAGTCTTCTGGCCGGCACCGCGGCTCACAAGGCTAATCCTCCGCCTTGTGGCACCGGCACACCGGGTTCTAGTCCCAGTCGGGGCACCGGATTCTGTCCCTGTTGCCCCTCTTCCAGGCCAGCTCTCTGCTGTGGCCCGGGAGTGCAGTGGAGGATGGCCCAAGTGCTTGGGTCCTGCACCCCATGGGAGACCAGGAAAAGCACCTGGCTCTGCCATCGGATCAGTGCGGTGCGCCAGCCGCAACACGCCGGCCGCGGCAGCCATTGGAGGGTGAACCAACAGCAAAAGGAAGACCTTTCTCTCTGTCTCTCTCTCTCACTGTCCACTCTGCCTGTCAAAAAAAAGAAAAGAAAAAAAAAAGAAAAGAGAAAAAATTATAAAAAAAAAAAGAAAGAAAGAAACTATACATGGATTTCATTTTTTGCACCAAAATAAACGTATCCCTGTATTCAAATTTTCCACAACCTTTTTGAGGACCTTTATATAGGTCATCTTAGAACTTAAAAATATATGGAAGGATGTGAGTGAGTTATGTGCAAATACTATACCATTTTATATAAGGGACTTGAGAGTGCACAGATTTTGGTGTCCATGAGGGATCCCTGGAACCAGTCCCCCATGGATACCAAGGAATGACTATTTGTATTTTTTAATTGGTTTTACTCAACAGAAAAGCAAATGTTCTCACATCTCTGTAAACCAAAGAAGGTGTAGAACTTGGAGCAAGGCTTAAGTTAGGCTCCTATACTCATGCTCCCACAAAGGTTCAGAGATAGGGGCTCTATCTTCCTTGATGATTCCCTTTCTTTCTTTCTTTTCTTTTTTTTTTTTTTTTTTTTTTGACAGGCAGAGTGGACAGTGAGAGAGACAGAGAGAAAGGTCTTCCTTTGCCGTTGGTTCACCCTCCAGTGGCCGCCGCGGCCAGTGCGCTGCGGCCAGCGCACCACGCTGATCCGATGGCAGGAGCCAGGTGCTTCTCCTGGTCTCCCATAGGGTGCAGGGCCCAAGTACTTGGGCCATCCTCCACTGCACTCCCTGGCCACAGCAGAGAGCTGGACTGGAAGAGGGGCAACCGGGACTAGAACCTGGTGTGCTGGCACCCCAAGGCGGAGGATTAGCCTAGTGATTCCCTTTCAAAGGGAGGGCTCCAGGGTTCTTGAGAAAGACTTTCCTGGATTGGAAAACTAACACAAGGCTGTTTAAAAGATTTACATTTCAAAGGGAAGCAGAAGGAATTCACAAGTAGTGGTTTCCTAAAGTAAATGCTCTAAGAAAAGGAAGGGCAGAGACTGGATCAGTAAGAAGCCTTTCAGAAGTTGACTCCAGCTGAGGGGAACATTAAGGCCACCTTGGTCAGTGAACACAGAAGCATTAGCTGCCCTTTTGAGAAAATTGTCCACGAATGGAAGAGGAGAGGAGCTCAAATGAAATGAGTGCCCAGGGAACTGTGTGTTTTGTTTGGGTTAAGTTGAAAGAAGGCAAAATAGGTAGGCAGACAGAAAGAGAAATGAGAAAGAAATTGGCCAATTTCAGCTATATTTTACTTAGTTTTACCAAATTGGCCAATTTCACTGAATGGTATGGGTAACATTAATAAGAAAAATCTCCTAAGAAGGCAGAGAGCATGGGATTCAGAGAATTTATGGAAGAAATGGCCACTGGTCAGAGGAGGGACAGCTGGAGCCAAATGTTGCATGCACATTGGTTTGTAGATCTAGGGGCAGGAATTTCAAGTGGTCCCTGAGAAATTGCATTTTCTCAGTATGGTAAGCTCATCTGCCCAGGGAAAGTGGACCCCCAGCTAGTGGTCTGAAGATAGTAAAGATCTGACAATGGTGCAAACAGGAGGCCAAAGAAGCTCAGCCATAGGGTTGCCCACTGAGGTTGCAAGGTGTGAATTTAGAGTCTGGACGATTTGTCCCCAGGGGTGCACTACTTCTCCAGAAGCGTCTCCCTGGGAAGTCACAGAGAAGACAGATGGGGTCCTAAAAGTTGGAGTTATTTCACAGACTTTATTTCACAGGAATATTCAGCAAATGGTGAGAGACAAAAATGTCTGCAAAAGTCACAGTATTCTTAAAAAAAAAAAAAGTGATTACACTTCAATCGTCTGACTACATATGTTTTTAAAGTAAAGACTGGATGCAGTAAAAATAAGTGGACTTTTTTGAGTGGTGCTTTAATTTGTTGTATTTTTACCTAGGGAAATGGTGAACATGGAGTTGGCAACCCCAAAGGAGAAAAGGTAATACGATTTTCAAGGTGAAGGAAAAGGTCACGTGTTGAATAGCAACTTGCACATTCACAGGTCAGAGGTAGAGCAGCTGCAGCAGTAGGTTCGGTCCCTGAGAGGCTGTGCAGCCTGCAGCAGGCAGCAGCCTCCACGTGCAGGACTGCCATCTGCGGCAGAGGGGGCTTCTTGGTGAGAACTGATGAGTGGCAATTGGCTACAAGGGAGGGAACGCACCAAGGGGAAATAGCTGTTAACATAAAAGAAATTCAGTCCCAAGTTTGGTTCAAATGAGATGTTTCCTAAATCCATGTTGGTGGCAAAAGTTATCTGAAGACCCCTTTGGCAAAAGCGCCTCAGTCTCAAACTCACTGCTTTGTGTCTTTTTAAGTAGCCAAACAGAAGACATTATGGGAGGGTTTTCTGGAGGTGTTTTATAATGTGCAGCTGCAGTTTAAGCAAATAATTATTTCAAAACAGTTTAAAATTAAAACACTGATGAATTTCCATTGCTTTCTCATCGTCATCTTTCACTGGTTTAATTATATTAGCTGTGTATGGTAACTGTGAAGATGACAGATTCACTTGCCCACTCCAAAAGAGGTGTCACTCCTATTTGATTCTGAAATTGTGATGACCTTGGATTCAGTGTGAATGAGCCATTGTCAGAAAAAAAAAAAAAAGTACACATTAAATCTACAGACAGAGGTGTGTAGGATGGAAAATACTCTTGAGGGAACGTGGCCTGTGAATGCTACCTCGATTCATTCATCCAGTAAAAATTCCCTTGATTGAGGGCAGGGTTTTTCAACATCAGACCAAGAAGATAGGACTTCTGTGCCTTATAAATCAATGCAACACACCTATTCAAAAGATCAGAAAATACTGCTAAAATATAGTCCCTACAGAAACTAGGAGCTATTGACCATTGAAAATTAAATTTTCTGCAAAATAACTAAAGAAATAAAACCTTGACATTCTGAAAAAGACATCCAAAAATAATTGATTATCCAGCAATGATAAGCCATTTATGTGTCTTGGATTTTACTGCTAACACATTAGTATCATTTCCTGTAAGCCAATCACTTACAGAAACCATGTCCCACCATAACAAACGCATTACATTTTAAACAACTACTGGACACATGAGGCTGGGGGAAGGGAAGCAAATGAAAGCCCCAAAGCTTGTCACACAGGACAGCTGAGCAACGAAGAGAGTTGTGACACTTTCAAAGTATTTAAATGATGATTCATTTCTTGAGACAAAACAGCTGGCTTCGGTTTTGCTATGTTCATTAGAAAACATATGTTGCTTAGGAATTCTTAAGACCTCGCTGATGAGAAATTTGATTCTGTAAAACAGGTGTATTTGAAACTCTAAGGACCTTTTCTATTGCTCAAAATCCTCTCTAATTGCTTCAGAATCTTAAATGGGATTAGAAGAAGCCAGTGGCATAACTGTGCTGTCTTCCCACACAAATAAATAACCTGGAAGAGTCCACAGGGAATCTGATGCAGTACCTGATATAAATGTACATATAAAATGATTTTTATGATTATAGTTAACAGGGGAAAGATTCTGCTAATAAATAATGCATAAAAGAATGAAAGTTGTTACTAGGAGAATGAAAACAACCCTAACTATACACATCCACCTGGTATCTATTGTGAGTCAAAGTATTCATTTTCAAATTTATAATGTTGTGTGTGAGTTACCATAGTGAAGATTTAAAGTTCCTTCAAGCTGTTCTCACAGGTCTTGATCATGCCTGTAGTGGACCCCAGTGGTGCTCAACTCTGGCTTCACGTTAGAATTACGGGGACAGCTTGGAGACAATACCTGTGCTAGGCCCTAAACTACACAGACTGATCCAGGATGGAGTGCTCAGCTCCATTACTTTTTAAAAGATTGATTGATTGATTTGAAAGGCAGAGATATGGAGGGGGGGGGGGCGCTTCTGTCCACTGATTCATTCACCAAATGTGCCAGGCCAAAGCCAGGAGCCAGAAGCTTCATCTGGGTCTCCCACTTGGATGACAGGGGTTCAAGGACTTGGGCCATGTTCCACTGCTTTCACTGGTACATTAGCAGGGAGCTGGATCAGAAGTGGAGCAGCTGGGACTTGAGCTGGCACCCATATGGGATACCAACACTGCAGGCAGAGGCTTAACCCACTATGCCAGAGCACCAGCCCCTAGATCATTATTTAACTGTAATTCTAATGATTCTAATACGCAGCCAGGAGTGAGAACCACGGTGTGGCACCAAGAGCATTAGCTTTGTGATCAGAAGTTGATGTGGCATTAACAGCTGGGTCCCCTCGGGAATCCCATTCATTTCCCTAAGCATCAGTCTCTTCATTTGTAAAATGGGCATATTCATATACACACAGAGTTGATGAGAGGATTAAAATCAGATAAGATCAACTTATCCGAAAGCACAACACCTGACACATATTCAGTCTTTAGGAAAAGTTTGTTCTTGTCTATTTTTGTGAGGTTTCATTTAGCTCTTTTTGGAATTCATCATCATTACCATCCTTAGCACCTGGCTTTGTCCCTCTTGGCATCTCTTGCCATAATTTCAACAGAGCAGGAGCCCAATTTCTGTTGTAAAATAAAATATTTAACTTGATGCAGAATTTAAACACATAAGTGTATGCCAGGGGCCTCGGACCCACGACAAGCAGATTCAGATTCTGATGGGTCAGAGAACTCAGAGTCACTCAGAGTGTGGATTTCTCTCTCCTATACTCAGAGTGCTGGTGAGAGATGTGCAAGGAATGGCAACTTGCCCCTGCCTTTGTGTCCGTGGTGGGATTTGAACACACACAGACATCTACAATCACAGCCACACAGCCACTTACATACATACAATAGCTGCATATATGTGTCCATATCCATCCACAAGCACCTGCCGTGTCTAGCCATGTCCCCCAACTGCTTGTATGGTTTTACAGACAAATGTGGCTCAGAGCCAAACTCTTACATAACAGACTTGTGGGCAGCCAGCACAGCAGTCGGTTGCCATGACACCAGTTACCATACAAAGTGATAAAGGGACAAAAGGTGTGGGAACTGTAACTTCACCTTCCCAAGTTCATCTCCTCAACAATAAGTGACCCATCATTGCTATGTAAATGCCACTTCTCAGTGCAGTGCACAGACCAGCAAAAGAGAATAACCAAATCAGCCTGCTGTTTGGAACCCAGCATTACAATGAAGCATGGGAACAAGCCCTGGGATATACATACAGATCGTTCCTGGGTTAGCAACCACACCCTGCTTCAAGAACACTGAGATACAGTGAGAACCACTATGGAACACAGCTGTTATTAATGGTAAATGAGAGTGGAGCTCCCACGTCCTGCGTGACCAGCTAATCAGTATTGAAATGCTGATTGCTCTTCTGCAGTGTGGCTGGGACTGACAGGTTGTGATGAAAGGATAGTGAATTCGCAAGATGCTCGAGGAGAACTGCTGGCCTTGTAGAGACGGTGGGATAAGGTGGCAGAGGTTCTATGGATTCCTGAGAAAATAACAGATATATTTTAGGGCAGACTTTCAGGGGAGAAAGATGGTCTCAACATCAGACCTTTCAAATAACATCAGAAGTGACTAAATAATGGTGGGCAAATTCAGCCCTTGTCTTTCAGCTCACAGCCACAGTGATAAATCACTGAGCATCCATCCATCTTAAACATGTTTTAAAAATTATCCCAGGGCTGGTGCTGTGACGTAGCAGGTTAGGCCGTCGCCTGCAGTGCTGGCATCCCTATGGGCGCCGGTTCGAGACCCGGCTGCTCCACTTCTGATCCAGCTCTCTGCTATGGCCTGGGAAAGCAGTAGAAGATGGCCCAAGTCCTTGGGCCCCTGTGCCCACGCGAGAGACCCGGAAGAAGCTCCTGGCATCGGATCAGCGCAGCTCCAGGCATTGCGACTAACTGGGGGGTGAACCAGCAGATGGGGAGGGAAGACCTCTCTCTACCTCTCCTTCTCTCTCTGTGTGGCTCTTTCATATAAATAAATAAATCTTAAAAAAAAAATCCCATATACGCCTAAGATTCAGGTAAAAGATGCTTTTGCTGCAGAATTTTAAATGAAGTAACAAGGCCTGAAGATTTCCTCCTTGGGGCCTGCGCTGTGTCACAGCGGGTTAACACCTTGGCCATATGGACGCTGGTTCAAGACCCAGCTGCTCCACTTCCGATCTAGCTCTCTGCTATGGCCTGGGAAAGCAGTAGAGGATGGCCCAAGTGCTTGGGCCCTTGCACCTACGTGGGAGACCCAGAGGAAGCTCCTGGCTCCTGGCTTCGGATCGGCACAGCTCCAGCTGTTGCAGCCAATTGGAGAGTGAACCATCAGATGGAAGCTCGCTCTCCCTCTCTCTCTCTGGCTCTCCTCTCTCTGTGTAACTCTGACTTTCAAATAAATAAATCTTTAAAAAAAAATTTCCTCCAAGCCCAGGCTCACCCAAGGAGCACAAGGAGAGATGTACCAGTGTCCTTTGGGTCCTTCCTGTTTAGTGCACTGAAGTCCCATCTCATGTTTGTATCAGTCCAAATATGTAGTAGCTATGGAGGTAATTACTCATATTCATCCATATATATTCTCTGACCTTCTCCCTTTGATATACTGCAGATGTCATTGTTATAAGTAATTTCTAGACCCTTTCCTCACTTTATACTTTTATTTTATTAGGCAAGTGCAATTAGTAGGTACATTTTTCCTTCACACCTTCACACAATATATTTTAGCTCTACCAGACAAGTAACACGGAGGTCATGCTATGTGCCCTAGTGCACTTATACCAGCAACTTGTTTATTTCCTGTTGGGGACAAACAACTACTGGTCCCTTAAAGTATTTCCCAGCTTCTCCTTCTTCTGACATTGGATACAATGTGTTACGTCTGGGGAAAAAGGCTTCTGCTACAGTGTGGTAAGTATAAGACAGATGATACACTAGGGGTTTAGATGTTAGAGGGAAAAATAGTTTTGTATTTTGCTTTGCTTTAGGACAAAAATGTATATTCAGCATACTATAAATTTCCTGGTTATTATATCAAAAAATGTAGGGTGTATTTACATTTAAAATGTGAGTTAATTTAGAGAAAAAAGAAGTTGAAAATATATAGGTGGCATGTGAGCATAGCAAAAATCTGGAGTTGGTGTGCAGATTACAGGACTTCAGGAAACACGGTCCTAGAATATGCATATTAAGTCTGCTGTTTTGCTTTCTTATTTTAAAGACTTACTTATTTACATGAAAGGCAGAGTTACAAGGGGAGAAAGAGAAAGAGAGAGATCATCCCCAAATGGCCGCAATGGCCAGAGCTGGGCCAATCCAAAACCAGGAGCCAGGAGCTTCTTCCAGGTCTCCCACATGGGTGCAGGGGCCCAAGAACTTTTGCCATCTTGACTGCTGCTTTCCCAGGCACATTAGCAGGGAGCTGGATCCAAAGTGAGCAGCTGGGACTTGAACCAGCACCCATATAGGATAGAGGCACTATGGGTGGCAGTTTAACCTGCTAAGCCACAGTGTGGACCCCAGAAGTTTTTTTTTGTCTTGTTCTTGTTTGTTTGTTTTGACATGTAGAGTCGGAGACAGAGAGAAAGGTCTTCCTTCTGATGGTTCACTCCCCAAATGGCCGCTACAGACGGAGCTGCACCGATCCGAAGCCAGGAGCCAGGTGCTTCTCCTGGTCTCCCATGCCGGTGCAGGGCCCATGCACTTGGACCATCCTCCACTGCCTTCCTGGGCCACAGCTGAGAGAAGTTTTGCTTTCTTATCCATGTGCTTCCTTGCCTTTCACAGTTTCGATATTACCTGCTAAAAGCTTGATAGGAAGAAAAGTTAATACTGAGATCTAAAAGAATAATAAAATCAAGATTACACATACTGTTAGGTCATCACAAAACACACCAAACACCAGAGTAAGGGAAAGGGTTTATTGGGGAAAACCCAGCAGACCGGAGGGAAAGGACGAAGAGGGAAAAGGAGAGTAAGAGAGAAAGAGGAGAGAGGCGAGGAGGAGGCTAGAGAGCCACGGGTTAAGGAACAAGTCCTTTGAAAACTTTGCTGGAGGGTGGGCAGGGAAGCAAGAGCAGTGAATCCCATTAGGATGGGGGTGGGGCTGACACTGGTGGTCAGGCCATGTGACTACCTGGCTTTCAGCAATGGCAGCGGGGACTAGAGCCTAGGATGTAAATCAGGGTGTAGATCGTGCCATAGATAAAACTGTGCCATTTTCCTAACATATACAAATATGTAATTCGAGACAAATTGATAAAAAATATCATGCTGGGGCTGGCACTATGGCACAGTAGTTTAATCCTCTGCCTGCAGCACCGACATCCCATATGGGCGCTGGCTCTAGTCTCTGTTGCTCCTCATCCTATCCAGCTCTCTGCCATAGCCTTAGATGACAGTGGAAGGTGGCCCAAGTGCTTGGCCCCTGAACCCTCATGGGAGACCCAAAAGAAGCTCCTGGCTTCGGATGGGTGCAGCTCCAGCCATTGCGGCCCATTGGGGAGTGAACCAGCGGATGGAAGACCTTTCTCTTTGTCTCTCCCTCTCACTGTCTATAACTCTAACTCTCAAACAAATAAATAAAATCTTTAAAAAAATCATGTCTATTACACAAAATCACAAAATATACATTAGGATAGAAATGTGGAAATAAGCCAAAGATTTTAGGACTATGATGAATCTGTACTTGAAGAACTTTTAGATTCTTGCTTAAGGCTACACTGTAAACAGGCTTGTCCACACAAAGGATCAGAATTAGGGTGTTCACTGCAACTTTGTTTATAGCAAATAAAACTAGAGACAACACAAGTGCCTGTCTGGGGTTGAGATATGCCTTCATACATTAGCATATTTGAGTGCTATCCAGCAGACACAATGAAGGAGCTAGATTACATACATCAGTGCAGATGGATATTAAAAACAACATTGAAAAAGCCACCCAAGTATTATATGCAAGATAAAGCTATTTATGAATTTTTTAAAAGATTCAAAATAATGTTAAAATACCACATATGCAGTAAAGGTACAAAACTATAGACTGAAAAGATACTCAGATCATGAGTATCTGTGGCTCCCTGAGTATCCCATGAGTATCATGAGTGTGGCTCCCTCAAGGATGACAGTCAAGTGGGAGACATATGAGGTTTCTTCTTTGATGAGAATTTTTTTTATTTCATTTCAAGTGCCTGATACATCAAGATTTCATGTATCCTACTTTGTGTTTTCTGTATTTTTGTCAGATTTAAAAAATAAACAAGAAAGATGTATGTGCAGAAATGTAATGTGAATATTATTTTGCAAAAGTGCTTTGGATGTTGGAAAAATCAGCATTCTTTATGTCCTAGTGGCTGTCTAAGATGTGGTTACTCAGGGATTTTGGTAAATGCTAAAAGGAAACTCAATGCTGGACTCCTCTGATACATGATTAGTGTTATAGTTCCCTCCTACGAGTATTATCTCTCAGATTGTGTCTTCTGAGAACAGCTTCTATGTCATGTAGGAATCCCTCTTCAAGATTCTTGACCAGAGCGCCATTGACATTTCGAAGCGGCTGCTGTCACCACATTGACAAGAACGCTTTCTTTGTCCACAGGATCTAAGCAGTAACACAAAGGCTGGGAACAGCTGAGAGAGAATTTTTTCTGCCTATAACTACCAACTCCTCCCACCTAAAAAAAAGAAAGAATGTCTGAAATAAAATTAGCCTGCACGATTGTGTCAGCTAGACAATCTCACTTGTTTGAGATCACAAAAATCCATAATTTTTGTAGTACACTAGATCAAATTTGTAACTTTTTCTCCTGTAGGTGTTCTGGCCTTGAAAACACTTAACTTCTGTTTCACATTAATTTCAAATACCATAATGAAATATTGTGAATTTCTAAAAGTCCTAAAGGCAATGTAAGGTGTTGACAAACACATTATTAAGCAAATAGCCCAAGATTCAGAACTTCCATGTCTCTTGTTCACTGTTCGATAAAGTCTGTGGTTGGATCTGTCAGTTGAAGCAGCGTTGTTCATCTAACTTCATGCAAAATCTCTCCTCTGCTTTTTCCTGAAAGGGTGAAACTGGACTACCAGGATTTCCAGGATCTGTTGGCCCTAAAGGGCAAAAAGGAGAACCTGTAAGTCATAAAGTGTTAAGCGCGGATGAAGGACATATATATATATAATTTTATAATATATAGAAATATATAATATAGAGAGAATGAAATATGTATATGAAATAATGAACTAATTTAAAATTTTAATGTATAATTATATTAAAAACACATAAATATATTAAATATAATTTATAAAATAAAATATTTAAATATATATTTTACATTATAGGTGCATAATTATTAAAACAAAGTATATATGAAATAATGAAGTGAATGAAATAAAATATATATATTTCATATATATATAATATAATGAAAAATATTTTTCCAAAGCATTCCCAATTCCATATACCTTGGTTGTCTCTGTCATGGTGAATGAAAAACAGATAAGATCCAGAAGCAGGTATATGCTTTAGCAGGTACTATGTCCACACATGTATTAACTCACTTAATCTGCTTAAAAATGTCCTGAGGTAGAGTTTATCACCTCCATTCTTCTGATGCGGAAAGTGAAGCATAGAAGATAGCAACATCCCCAGGTCACACAGCTAATACATATTGGAGCCATGAGTCACATCTTGGTGGACTGATTTAGAACCTAGGGTTTAAAATCCCCCTGCTGTCCTGTTACAGTCAAACATTATAGCAACATGAATAATAAAATCAGTATATCAAAAGACTGGTAACAATGTATCAAAAAATCAGGAGCATTTATCCATTTGATCAGGCAACTGTTCTCAGCATATCTTCTGAAGTTATTTTTCTTTCTTGATTTTCCTAAGATGAAAGTGGATTCCTAAGTCACTTTTTTTTTTAAGATTTTATTTATTTATTTGACAGGTAGAGTTACAGACAGTGAGAGAGAGAGACAGAGAGAAAGGTCTTCCTTCCGTTGGTTCACTCTCCAAATGGCTGCAAAGGCAGGAGCTGCGCCGATCCGAAGCCAGGAACCAGGTGCTTCTTCCTGGTCTCCCATGCGGGTGCAGGGGCCCAAGCACTTGGGCCATTCTCCACTGCCATCTCCGGCCACAGCAGAGAGCTGGACTGGAAGAGGAGCAACCGGGACTAGAACCTGGCGCCCATATGGGATGCCGGCGCCACAGGCGGAGGATTAACCTCATGCTCCAACACCCCGAAGTCACCTTCTAATATTACTATGGCTAGTTTCTTTTAAAATTTAGTTCTTTGGGTGGCATAAAAAAGAAAAAAACTATAATATAATTTATAGTAAAATAGGACTACCTAAAGAGATAATAACGATCCTAGTTACCAGAAAAATACTGGCCCCAAAAAGTAGCCCCCAAGAATCAGCAAGAATCAGGCTTAACAAATGTTTTATCTTTGTGAGGTTTTTAAATTTAATATGTATTTTTAAATCTCCTTTATCTTTCCTTGCCAGAGTGAATAAGGAATATTGGTTTACCAGGAAATATAGAAGGGAGTGGTCACTAAAATGCCAGCATAACAAACAGGAACAATAAGTACTTAATGTTGCAAAGCCAAATTTTCCTTCTTGCTTCAGCTTTTGAAAGTAAGCATCTTTAGTCAGGACAGTTTTCTCAGGCAGCTTTACCATCAGCACCATAACCTGGGTACCTTGAGGACTGGTACCTGCCCTTAGTATCTAATCCAAGCCTCTGTGCAACTGTAGACAGTAACAGTCTTTAACAGGATTCCCCAACTGAGGATTTCCAAGGTCTGGGAAATCTTATCTTTCTCACCAATTCAGCCTCCAGTTGCCCCTGCCACCTGCCCACTCCCTCCTGATGTCCCCCATTTGGGGGTTCTTACCAGCAGGCTGTAGGGGCTCCTTTTGGTCTTCACTGTCTCCCTGCCAAGCCTGAGCTCTGACACCCACCTTTTCTAATTTCCATGTAATACTTGGAGGACCTGACAGTAAGCTTTACTAAGCTTCTGCTGGAAAATCAGGAAATTACAGAGCAGAAAAGAGAAACTTTCATTGAGTTATAACAGTGCTTCTTAAATACAAACATCCACTTGAATCCTGCTGATTCTAATTTTGTAGATCTAGGATGGGGCCTGAGGCTTGCAGGCTCCCAGATGATGCTGGTGCTATTGGACTGGGAACCAACACTTTGAGTAGCAAGGGTTGGAGGATTTCACAGTTGCCAGGTGTGATAGGTCTTTTCTCCCCTTAAGAGATCCCCTCTAGCTTTCTTACTATCAGCATTCAAGGTCAGCCCCCATCCCACTGAGACTGCCTTTAGCACTGTATTCTTTGTTCAAGACAAACAGGCTGCCTTTCCTACTAACTCTTCTCTTTGCCAGCTCCCTCCTAATCCTAAATTATTCCAACTTCTCCATACATCATTGCCTACTTTCTTCCCCTACCCCACATAAAAAATTACATTATCATACAGAGTGGTTTAACTCTTTGTGTTCTCAACCTTCCTATTCCGGAACACAATCTAAACTTGATTTTGCATAGTAACCAGAGGCCCAAACGATGGGAAATCTTCATCCAAAATTGATCCTGAATCTCCAGTCCTGAGTGGCAACTCTTCAGGAGGCACTTTGTCCCCAACTACTGGACATTTAAAATATGGCTAGATGTGTAATACATGAGAGTTGAAATATTCTCAGGAAATCATCTGGTTGAACTCCTTGATTTTATAGATTAGGAAAAGGAGACTATAAAAGGTTTAAGTGACTTGGTCTGCAGAGTAGCCATTGGCACCAAGTTTCAATGTCTGAATGTCACATGTCTAGATATCCAGGCCCCTGGTTTTGTTTTATGTTTGTTTTCTTTTACAACCATTTACTTTCGTCAATTTGGCTTTTGAGTTTGACAGCAACTCTAAGGAAGCAATGATATGAGCAATGTAATATAAGCAAAAGAGGCTTATATCTAATTGATACCTTTCCTATCTTGAAAAATAAACAGTTTTTGTAATGAATCCTGAAAAGCAAGAATATAAATAAAATCCCAATCTAATGTGTAGAAATTAACCAATGATCAAAGATTTGATCATGTTGAACAGTCATGGAGTGTAATAGTCAGCTTATATTAAGTAACAAATGAACCCTGAAATTTCCATGGCATAGCTTAAGAAAGGTTATCTCTTACACAGATTATATGTCTGGTGTGGTTCAGTTGAGAGAGGTGGGCGGTTTCTCCACACTACACATGGCCCACTGATGACCGTCATGTAATTATGCTCTCAGGTACACACAACCCTCCTAGCGACCACCGCAGGAAAATGACTGGAAAGTGACTGGATGATTTGGAAGGGGTTTCTCATTGCCTTGGTCACCTCTGTTCACATTCCATTGTCAGAACCAGCTGCATGGCCCTGTGGAACTGCATGGCAACTAGGACTAAAGGGAGAGAAGAAAGTGAGCCCTATGGTCCCTAACACATGTGACATGTGGTGAAAGCAGAGGCCCACTTAGTGCTCACTGATCTGTCATGAGTGCTGTATTTGACTATAGCAGTCCCTAAGAAAACCCATGGTTGCAAAATCTACCGTAATGATTTTTACATTTTCTCTTGACTTTTGTATGAATTTTTTTAATTTATAGTTTCCATTTTACAACTCAATGCAAATAATAAATCAAATTATAAAATCAAATCAAACAGACTAAACAAGCTGGAACTAGAAAGGAAATAAGACTGCCTGAATTTAAATCCTGGATCACCTCTTACTGGTGTTGTGATGTTGGAAAAATTATCTTGCTTCCATGTGCCTTAGTGTCCTCACCTGTAAATGGGTATGCTGACAGCACCTACCCCACTGACACGTAAGGATTCACTATGTTTAGATATAAAGTGATTAGAACAGTGGTTAGTACATTGTAAGAATTTAATAAATGCTAGCTATTATTTTTGTATTTGCATGACTATAAATTATCTAATGAACCTTTGACACCAACAGTGTGAAGGTGTGTGTGACACACTAGAGATGCCATGACAGACAGGGTGAATTACAACCAAGACTCACGGAGTGTACAGCCAAGTGGAAAAAGGAAGCATGACATGTGATGAATGCTGTTTTAGAGAAGTAGAGGGAATTATGACAAGAGTGACAACCTGATTCTCTTCCTTCATTCTTAAAGTAACAATACTGTGTTTTAGACAGTATTGCTATGATGTTGGGACCATGTACATATAACTTCAAGAACAGAAGGTAGTAAGAGAAGGCTGGCTTGTGTATGTATGTATGTGGCTATATGTTGAGGCTACCTTGGGGTGATAGTAGATCAGTGACGGGGAGAGTGTTGGTTAATAATAGTTATCCCCTTGGAGCTTCATAAACCCAACAAGAACCATTATCAGTTTCACACATTTGAACTCTTATTCACCCAGTAATTAACCTTTTTAAGTAATTTTCATTAAACTAAAAATGAAAATTAGAAAACTAATTTTAAAATTAATTTTACTTATTAAAATGATTCAACTAGAAGAATTGAGATGAATGCTTTTCCATTCAACCCTTTGATGCCATCACTCCTGTTCTGCCTCCAACTGGACGTGTGTGACATCTTCTAGAACAAGGCCATAGGAAGCTTTGGCCCTGGGAATCATTCCAGTGTGTCAGCCTCTCAGGATTCTCTAGTTGGTATTAGGATGATTTTTTCATTGATTCTTTGGGAATATGAAATAATTTGTAAATTAGTTCTCTTGAGCTCCTTGTAAGCTGCAAGATTCTGTGACAACTCTGAATCATTTATAATGGAGGCCTGAGTTTGGCCAGCAGGATTTATCCATTTCTAGCTTTGGAGACTTCTTTCCTAAAAGTGTTCATAATTGATTCTATTTTCTCCCCATTTTCCTAGGGGGAACCTTTTACAAAAGGTGAAAAAGGAGACAGAGTAAGTAGATATTTTCTCACTATCTTGGATTTTCTACTTCATTGATTTCTTTCCCCCGATCTCTGTTATGTTTACTTTAGATCTAATAGATTTGATAAAATAAGCTGCCTGAGCATTTTACTTTGTCTTTGGGGACTTTTGACTCTTTTGATACATGAGAAATGTTAAACCTTGTTAAATGCTATCATGTGATGATATTTTAACATTTGTTTTCTTTAACTCGCTTCTATTGATGATTGGGAATAAAAGTCATAAAAGACATTTACCTGGGATAGCTGAAATAAAAAACTAAAATAGAAGATACAGCTTTTCTCAAGAATTCTATGAATGACCCAAATTTGATTTATCAAACACAAATAAGTCATAGAAAAGGATATCATGATATCTAATATTGTCTTCTGTATAGTCTTAGTTATCTTTCTTTTTTCATTAAGTAAATATACCTGATAGTAGAATCAATAACACATATCCCCTTATATTCTACTACCCCTCACCCTTCAACTGATAGATTTTTTAGACCATTTATTTATTTGAAAGGCAGTTACAGAGAGGGAGAAAGAGATCTTCTGTCCAATGGTTCATTCTCCAAACGGCTGCAATGACCAAGGTTAGGCCTGATAGAAACTAGGAGCCTGGAACTTCATCTGGGTTCAGGGTCCCAAGCACTTGGACCATCTCCCACTGCTTTCTCAGGTGCATTGGCAGAGAGCTGGATTGGAAGTGGAGCAATGGGGACATGAACCGGTGCCCATATGGGATGCAGGTATCACAGGCAGCAACTTCACTCACTGCACCACAATGTTGGCCCTTCAACTGCCCTCTAGTTTTAATTCTCCGGGATATGAAAATAACTGGTAGATAATCACAGGGGCTGGTGCTGTGGTGTAGGGAGTAAAGCTGCCACCTGCAGTACCGGCATTCCATATAGGTGCCAGTTCAAGTCCCAGCTGTTCCACTTCCAATCCTGCTCTCTGCTATGGCCTGGGAAAGCAGAAGAAGATGGCCCAAGTCCTTGGGCCCCTGCATCCACGTGGGAGACCTGGAAGAAGCTCCTAGCTCCTGGCATCAGATCGGTGCAGCTTCGGCCATTGCAGTCAGTTGTGGAGTGAACCAGTGGATGGAAGACCTCTCTCTCTCTCTCCACCTCTCCTCTGTGTAACTCTGACTTTCAAATAAATAAGTAAATCTTTAAAAAAAAAATCATAACATTGTCAGTTAAGTAGAAAATTCAGTGGTTACTAATGAAACATGGTGTCAAAGTGGCTTTGGGAGAAGAAAATATTATTTTTAAAAAGGGAAGTAGTGTTATTTATCAGCAATGAATCATGTTTTAGAATGGACCCTCTCTTGATTTCATCATGTCCTATAGAATTACCCCCTTTATTGTATGTTAATTAGTAGAAATTCAATTAAAGTATCAAAAATATTAATCTCCATCTGAATTTAAGGAGTACACAAATGGTGTTCATTTGATTTACAGGGAGAACCTGGGACAGTAGGTTTACAAGGAGTAAAGGTAATGTCCTGGTATTCTTCACTTTTATCTCTAACCTTCATGAGGTTGGGAAAATTACAGTGACATTTAACTTTCCTTCCCACCTATATGTTTAGGGAGAACCTGGAGATCCTGGTCCGCCAGGTTTAATAGGCAGCCCAGGACTAAAGGTACGGAAGACACAACTAAGATACATCAGAAATAATTTGGGAATCATAGCCATTCTGTGTAAAACAAGATACTTTGATGTGCCTCTCATTTGCTTCACAAGTGCGCTCAGAGCTTTTTTCCCGTTTCCATAGTGATTCCACCCCCCTTTTGCTACATTTATTATACACATACTGACTTGCCATTTTTGCTCACAATACTATTTTTAAACTCTCTTTCAGAGCATATTCACAATAGCATCCCTAAAAGCTTTAAGAGTAAACAATGTGAGTTAAATCGATGTCACTGAACTGTACTCCTAAAAGGGATAGAGCTCAGTATTCAATTTCTAAGCCAAAATTATGCAGTCCTGGATACTGGGTTTCCCTTGTGGGATTCTTTGGGAGTGACCCAAGAAAGAGAGCAGCTTTGGAGAGATGCAGCAGAGATTAATGTGGTGTGCTCCCAGCCCGTGGGTAAGGCAAGTTATTCAGTTATCATCACCTGCTGGTGAACACAGACCCATTAAATGATAACATCTAGAAACTATCTTGGTAAGCCAAAGTATATTTACATTTCAGCACTATACAGAGTAGGTGGAAAGCTGGGAAGTTCACTTTCTATTGATAAAGGCCACATCATGTTTTACACACAGTCGGGCATAGTGTCTTTTTTTAATAACAAAGTAACGGTTCATATCACTTTCTATCTTAGGGTCAGCAAGGACCTGCAGGCATCATGGGGCCCAGAGGACCACCTGGAGATGTTGTATGTATAGTGTCTTTGATGTTTTGAAATGAAATGGAAACTAAGATTTGTTTTAAACAATGTCAGCATCTGCTCATTGTGACTCAGTTATGCACCACTTCCCAAAGGCATGGCTCATTTCCACCACATAAACTGATCACATCGAATGTCAGAGCTATCGGGAAGAATAGTCCCTTCATGTATTCATGTGAAGTCCTTTTGAGTATCATTGTTCTAATACATTTGTCTTTGGAACTCAAGTGAACTAAGTTATCATCCTGGACATGCTTGTCAGTGGTGCACCAGCAGTAGAGGAGACTGGAAAAATCAAAAGAAATTAAAGAAAACTAGAGAAAAAAGCAACAATTTCCAATATGCATGACTTTTTGTTCAAGTCTTCATCTAGGGAAGACACTTTGAGAGTGTCTGTTGTCTTCTAGTAAGCACCATCCCAAAAAGCAGATCTTGGTTGAGAGTATTTCTATAGTACAGTTGGAGGAAGAGCTTCAGGTTGCATTATAACCTAGCTTTAGTGGACTCACACCCACCACCCACCCCCAACGTACACACACTCTTTAAATGTGCTTTTCCACCCATGCTTCCAGAGCAGTTTTCTGTCCTGCATACAACCTTCCTACATTCCTGAAAACTGGGTGCTAGGAGCTCACCATCATCCACATGTTAGCAAAAATAAGAAAAATACTTGACTGTAACTTCTTTTCTTTAACTTTTACTTAATGAATATAAAATGGATTACAATGGCTTCCCCCCAATACCGTCCCTCCCACCCACAACCCTCCCCTTTCCCACTCCCTCTCCCCTTCCATTCACATCAAGATTCATTTTCGATTATCTTAATATACAGAAGATCAGCTTAGTATACATTAAGTAAGGATTTCAACAGTTTGCTCCCACACAGAAACATAAAGTGAAAAATAATAGATGATTTTTTTTAAATGATGATGAAATCAGGTCAGACCTATTGTCATGTTTAATCCCAGTGAGAGTCAAGTTGGGAATTGATAATTTCTTTCTTTCTTTTTTTTTTTTTTTTTACAGAAGATCAGTTTAGTGTACATTAAGTAAAGATTTCAGTCGTTTGCACCCCCATAGAAACACAAAGTGAAATATACTGTTTGAGTACTCGTTATAGCATTAAGCCTCAGTGTACAGCACGTTAAGGACAGAGATCCTACATGAGGAGTAAGTGCACAGTGACTCCTGTTGTTGACTTTACCAATTGACACTCCTGTCTATGGCATCAGTAATCTCCCTATGCTCCAGTCATGAGTTTCCAAGGCTATGGAAGCCCTCTGAGTTCTCCGACTCTTATCTTGTTTAGACAAGGTCATAGTCAAAGTGGAGGTTCTCTCCTCCCTTCAGATAAAGGTACCTCCTTCTTTGAAGACCTGTTCTTTCCACTGGGATCTCACTCACAGAGATCTTTTGCCAGAGTGTCTTGGCTTTCCATGCCTGAAATACTCTCATGGGCTTTTCAGCCAGCTCCGAATGCCTTTAGGGCTGATTCTGAGGCCAGAGTGCTATTTAGGACTGTAACTTCTTAGAGACTGATCACTACCTGAGCCTCCAGGGATCTATTGGTCAGCATATATATTCTTCTTGGTAGTTTGAACAAAAAGTTCACAGAGCAAAGCATTTTATTGCACTCTCAAACCAATTAATAGACTACTACTACTTGTATACCTAGTGGAGAGATCTTATGGAAAGAGAAAATGCTGATGGCATTGGCAGAACCTCAAGACTCCCATGAATTGAGATTAAGTGGTAAGGGCTGGAGCTAAAAGGAGAATGAGATCAAAAGGGACAAAGACGTTGTTGACAAAATATAATAGAACCATATTCTCCTATTTACTCCTTTGTCCTGAATCATGATATGGTGCTACCAACCATCATCCTTCCACTCCTTGCAATGCTGTGGGTGGGACATTTGGTTCAATTCTCCTTTATTTAGTTCCTTGCCCTTTACATCCAAATGACTTCACCTGAAACGAGAAGCAACATATTTTCACCAGTGTTTCTCTCTACCTAACAGGCCAATATCAATCCATCCCCTTAAAGATTATATGTTGAGATTCTGTTTTCTTAATAAATATTCATAGATAGAAATGTTATAAAAAGAGATGTTATAACTACTCTTTGCCTTTACTTTGAATTTTTCCAGGGCTTGCCAGGAGAACATGGTATCCCAGGAAAACAAGGAATTAAAGGAGAAAAGGTATTGTTTGTATTTTACTCATTTTGTATACTAAGTAATTAGGAGAAAGAGAAGATCATAATGGCATTGGGGAAGTGAAAGGCTAGCACAGGGCTTCAGGGGTTGTACAGAAGATAGATAGTCACCTATGATGTGAACAGCGTCCCCTGGAATTGTGCACTGTAACAACACAGCACTAATTCTGACAATGAATCACTAAATGAAAAAATGAACTGACTCAGAGAGTCTGTTGTAGGCTCAACTCTCAATTTACGACAGACTGAAGAAATACCTTAATCTTTCATAACCTATTTCTTGATATCTACATTAAAATAACATTGCTGAATAATTGGAGAATAAAAAAGAGGCCCATACAGATCACTGAAACAACTTTATGAATAGAAATGTCTTTTGTGCATATACTTATATACATGAATATTTTGTGATACTGCTAGACTTACTATAATATAACTCACTAAAATAATTAATTTATGAAAGTTATAATAATGCCTAGGAGCAGGCATCCTAACCATTAGTGGTTAGGATGTTTGTTAGGATGCCCATATCTAATATCCACATTGGAGTACCTGGCTCTGCTCTGGCTCGTGGCTCCAGCTTCCTGCTAATGCTAACACTGTGAGGAAATAATAAAAACTCAAGCAGTTGGGTTCCTAACACTCACATGGGGGGCCTGGATTGAGTTCCTTTGCTCCCCACTTTGGCCTGGCCATTGCGGGCATTTGGGGGACAAACCAGCAGATGAAAGCTGGCTTGTGCTCGTGTGTTCTCTGTCCCACTCTCTCTCCCCCCAGTTAAATAAATAATTTTTAATAAAACAGTGTCTAACATGATTGGACACTCAGTAAATATAATTGATGAAGGAAAAAATTAATGAATGAACTTTAGCTATGATGAGAGCTTAAAATGATGGAAACTAATTCCCATTGTAAACCTGAGCAAAGAAGTAAGAATCTCACATTGTTTTTTTGTTTTGCTTTTGTTTTTCAGGGAGATCCTGGTGGGATTATAGGCCCTCCTGGACTTCCAGGTCCAAAAGGTGAGGCTGGTCCTCCAGGGGAAAGCCTGCCAGGGGAGCCAGTAAGTACCAGACTTTTACTGTAACTTTAACTTATTAATTACACTTATGAGCCCCTAGTTTTAAAGCACAAGTATAGAAATAAGTTTAGGTCTACAAAAAAAGAATTGTCCATTTTGTTCTTTAGATCAGAGATATAGCCGTTTTGAAAGTTTGTTGCAAGGTCTCTCAAGAAAATACATATGCACACATTTTGCATATGACTTTGGAAAATGCATAGGTCCCTTGAACTCTGTTGAATGAGCCCTAATTTTAAACCGTAACTCTTCCTAGAACACTATCTTAAAACAGAAGAACTTGGATCACTATGGTGGCTCAGTGGATTAAGCTGTCACCTGTAGCACCAGCATCCTATGTGGGTGCTGATTCGAGTCTTGGCTGCTCCATTTCTGATGCAGCTCCCTGCTAATGTGCCTGGAAAATCAGGGGAAGATGGTCCAAGTGCTTGGACCTCTGCTACTGACATGGGAGACTAGACAGGGGCCAGGCTCCTGGCTTTCGCTTGTCCTAGTCTCTGCTGTTGGAGCCATTTGGGGAGTGAACCAAGAGAGCGAAGATCGGTCTGTCTGTCTGTCTGTATCCATCTCTCTCTCTCTCTGAATTTCTCCTTGTCTCTCTATAACTCTGCCTTTCAAATAAATAAGTAAATCTTTATAAAAAAAAAAAAAAGCTTTGCACATAGCACCGTAGGTTGTCATTTGCAGAGAATGACTTTGTAATCCAGACTATTCCCAAGATATAGAAAACTGCATTGCTGGGAAAGTTTAAATAACCAGTGTTCTTCTATGTATTGTCTTTTTGCCTCATCCTCTTTAAATTCTTTGCATTAATAAATTATAATAATAGTTCTCAATATTGGATGCCTTGTTTTATAGGAAAAAGCACCTCTTCTATTTAAAGTAACTATACAGAATGTAAACCCTATTTAAATGTGTTCCTGGTTCCTTTTCCTATTATAAAAAAGCTTTTATTCAAGTAAGATAAAGGAATAAAATATTTTTCAGTAATGACTTCTCAGATGTTTTTAACCTTTTTAGAAAAAGAAATTCATTTACCTCCTTTTCTGTTTCCTTTAGGGTTTAGATGGAAATCCTGGAGCACCCGGTCCACGAGGGCCAAAGGTAGAAAAATATCATACTTAATTTAAAAAGAACTAATAATTAATTAAACACAGCAGAAATATTCTTCTCACGTGAACCTTGCCCTAATTGAAACATCTCCTTTCACAGGGTGAAAGGGGACTGCCAGGTGTCCATGGCTCCCCAGGAGACATAGGCCCACCAGGAATAGGAATTCCTGGCCGAGCTGTAAGTGAAATTCAGTTGAGTTCTTGTAACCTTGTTGACTTTAATATTATGAGACAAAATCCTGTGGCAAATTTTAATAGGAAGAAAAGAAAAGAAAGGTCAGAGGAAGATGTATAAATCAACCCTATCCAGAGAGGATTGATCAGCGTTGCGATTACACAGCTAAGCACAGAGAGAGTACTCTTGTTTGACTTACATGGGCTGATCACAGATGCACTGATTTTAGATTAAAAGCAATCAATTTAATCCTTCCAGGTCTATATATTGATAACTATGAGTGCATGTTTGCAAGATGATAAGAATACCTAATTATAATATCAGGTAGTTATATATTACTGCTTATTTTTAATGAAAAGAAAGTAAAAAAATAATTTTTAAAGTGGCTATCCCCAAATATAAAGATAAGTAGATGAGAAAACTGATTACATTGATTGGATCAGTATATATAATATACATTTATTGTAGTATCACACTGTACCCCATAAATATGAATAATTTCAAAACAAATATTTAAAAAATAAAGTGGTTGGAGTATGTATAAATGAAATGATGCCAAAAACCTGTATATCGTATCTTTTGGAAGAACAGGTATTTTTTTATATATATTTTATTTTATTTAATGAACATAAATTTCCAAAGAACAGCTTATGGGTTATAATAGCTTCCCCCCCCCATAACTTCCCTCCCACCCACAACACTCCCCTCTCCCACTCCCTCTCCCCTTCCATTCACATCAAGATTAATTTACAATTATCTTTATATACAGAAGATCAATTTAGCATATATTAAGTAAAGATTTCCACAGTTTACACCCACACAGAAACACAAAGTGTAAAATTCTATTTGAGTACTAGTTATAGCATTAATTAAACACCTAAGAGTAATTGTGTATTAATTACAGAGTTCAACCAATAGTTTTAAGTAGAACATAAAAAATACCAAAGGGGTAAAGTATTACATTCTTTTTGTTTGTTTGTTATGTAGTTATTTTTTTTATTTAATAAATGTGAATTTACAAAGTGCAACTTGTGTATTGTTGTGGCTCCCCCCTCCCCAAACCTCCCTCCCTCCCGTGGCCCTCCCCTCTCCTACTCCCTCTCCCATCCTGCCCTTCATCGAGTTTCATTTTCAGTTACCTTCATATACTGAAGATCAACTTAGTATATACTAAGCAAGGATTTCAACAGGCTGCCCTCACACAACCGCACAAGGTATAGGGTATTGTTCGACTAGTAGTGTTGTTTTTAAGTTTCATAGTAAAACACATCAAGGACAGAGATCCTACGTGGGGAGCATGTACCCAGTGACTCCCTTTGTTGATTAATAATTGGCACTCTTATTTATGACGTCGGCAATCACCCGAGACTCTTGCTATGAGCTGTCTAGGCTATGGAAGCCCCTTGAGTTCACCAACTCTGAACTTGTTTAGTCAAGGCCATATCACAGTGGAGGTTCCTTCCTCCCTTCAGAGAAAGGCGCCTCTCTCCTTGATGGCCTGTTCCTTCTGCTGGGGTCTTGTTCGCCAGGATCTTTCATTTAGATTGTTTTTTGCCACCGTGTCATGGCTTTCCATGCCTGTGAGACTCTCATGGACCTTTTAGCCAGATCCGAATGTCCCAAGGGTTGATTCTGAGGCAGGAGTGCTGCCATTCTATGAGTCTGCTGTGTGTCCTGTTTTCCCTGCAGGATCATTCTCTCCCTTTTAATTCTATCCTTCATTACTTGCTTACACTGGTCTTATTTGTGAAATCTCATCGACACATACCCTATCTTTTTGATCGGTTGTATATTTATACTTATCACTTTACCAAGTGCGCTGGCATTGGTACCTGCCTCCTTGGTAAGATTGAGTCGAAATCCCCTGGCACATTTCTAGTTCCACCATTGGAGGCAAGTCCGAGTAGCATGTGCCAACCTATATATATCCTCCCTCTCTTATCCCCACTCCTATGTTTAACAGAGATCACTTTTCTGTTAATTTTGAAATGCCTAAGAATGATTGTGCATTGATTACAGAGTTCAACCAGTGGTCTTATGTAGAACAAACAGAGCAACAACAACAACAAAAATACTAAAAGGAATAAAATAGTAAGTTGTTCCTCAACAGGCTAGACAAGGGCTGATCATGTCATTGTCTCTCATAGTGTCCATTTCACTTCAATGGGTATCATTTTAGATGCTCGTTTAGTTGCCATCGATCAGGGAGAATATATGATATTTGTCCCTTTGGGACTGGCTTATTTCACTCAGCATGATGTTTTCCAGATTCCTCCATTTTGTTGTAAATGCCCGGATTTCATTGTTTTTTATTGCTGTATAGTGTTCCATAGAGTACATATCCCATAGTTTCTTTATCCAGTCATCCGTTGATGGACATTTAGGTTGATTCCATGTCTTAGCTATTGTGAATTGAGCTGCAACAAATATTGAGGTGCAAATGGTTCTTTTTTCTCCCCTTTAATTCCTTTTGGGTAAATTCCAAGGAGTGGGATGGCTGGGTCCTGTGGTAGTGCTATATTCAGGTTTCTGAGGACTCTCCAAACTCTCTTCCATAGTGGCTTTACCAGTTTGCATTCCCACCAACAGTGGGTTAGTGTCCCTTTTTCCCCACATCCTCGCCAGCATCTGTTGTTGGTTGATTTCTGTATGTAAGCCAGTCTAACTGGAGTGAGGTGAAACCTCATTGTGGTTTTGATCTGCATTTCCCTGATGGCTAGGGATCCTGAGCATTTTTTTATGTGTCTGTTGGCCATTTGGATTTCCTCTTTTGAAAAATGTCTGTTAAGTTCCTTGGCCCATTTTTTTATTGGGTTGTTTGTTTTGATTCTGTGGTGTTTTTTGATCATTTTATAGATTCTAGTTGTTAATCCTTTATCTGTTGTGTAGTTTGCGAATAACGTCTCCCATTCTGTTGGTTGCCTCTTCACTTTCCTGTTTCCTTTGCTGTAAAGAAACTCTTCAATTTGAGGTAATCCCATTTGTTTATTTTATCTTTGATTACCCGTGCCTGTGGGGTCTTCTCCAGGAATTCTTCGCCTGTTCCAATATCTTGAAGGGTTTCCCCTATGCTCTCAATTAGTTTCACGGTGTCGTGGCGCATCTCTAATTCTTTGATCCATGTTGAGTGGATTTTTGTATAAGGTGTAAGGTAGGGGTCTTGCTTCATACTTTGACATGTGGACATCCAGTTTTCCCAGCACCATTTGTTGAAGAGGCTGTCCTTGTTCCAGGGGTTGGTTTTAGGTCCTTTGTCGAATATGAGTTGGTTATAGATGTTTGGATTGATCTCTGGTGTTTCTATTCTGTTCCATTGGTCTATCCATCTGTTTTTGTACCAGTACCAGGCTGTTTTGATTATAACTGCCCTGTAGTATGCCTTGAAGTCTGGAATTGTGATGCCTCCGGCCTTGTTTTTATTGTAAAGGATTGCTTTAGCTATTCTTGGTCTTCTGTTTCCCCATATGAATTTCAGCATCGTTTTTTCTAGGTCTTTGAAGAATGAATTTGGTATTTTGATTGGTATTGCATTGAACTTGTAAATTGCTTTTGGGAAAATGGACATTTTGATAATATTGATTCTTCCAATCCATGAGCATGGCAGGTTTTTTCCATTTTTTGTGTGTGTCGTCTTCTATTTCTTTCTTTAGTGTTTTGTAATTTTCATCATAGAGGTCTTTGACCTCCTTGGTTAAATTTATTCCAAGGTACTTTATTGTTTTTGTGGCTATCGTGAATGGAACTGATCTTAGAAGTTCTTCCTCAGCCGTGGCATTATCTGTGTATACAAAGGTTGTTGATTTCTGAGCATTGACTTTGTATCCTGCTACTTTACCAAACTCTTCTATGAGTTCCAATAGTCTCTTATAGGAGTTTATCGGGTCCCCTATATATAGTATCATGACATCTGCAAATAGGGATAGTTTAACTTCCTCCTTTCCCATTTGTATCCCTGTAATTTCTTTTTCTTGCCTGATGGCCCTGGATAACACTTCTAGGACTATATTGAATAGCAGTGGTGAGACTGGGCATCCCTGTCTGGTGCCAGTATTCAATGGAAATGCCTCCAACTTTTCCCCATTCAATATGATGCTGGCCATTGGTTTATCATAGACTGCCTTAATTGTGTTGCGGAATGTTCCTTCTAACCCCAATTTGCTTAGGGTTTTCATCATGAAAGCGTGTTGTATTTTGTCAAATGCTTTCTCTGCATCTATTGAGATAATCATATGATTTTTGTTTCTCAATTTATTAATGTGATGTATTACATTGATTGACTTTCGAATATTGAACCATCCCTGCATACCAGGGATAAATCCCACTTGGTCTGGGTGAATGATCTTTCTGATGTGCAGTTGGATTCGGTTTGCCAGAATTTTGTTGAGTATTTTTGCATCTATGAAGAACAAGTATTTTTAATAATTGAAGCAAATAAGACAGCTTTTTAATATATTTTAACTACAAGGACATAGTCTAAAAAGTTTCTGATGATAATGTAGTGCATACATGCTCATTGATTAAATGATGATAAGAGATGAACCTTTTTCCTGTGAAAAAACAACAGATTTTGAAACAAGAGCAATGGAAAAATAAAGTGATTCTAATGACATTAATTTAGGAAATTAGCCTGTGGTACTGGAAAAACAAACCAATGATTTTTCTCTCCTCACAAAACTTCACTTCTGACACCAAATGTGCGACTCCCGTTTTCTCCACACATCAGTTCTCTAGCAGATACCAACTAGGTGTCAATTCAGTTCTGACCCTGTCCACCTGGAGGTAGTGTCAGGCCTCCCAGATGAAGGACTCAGTCCCAGAGACTTAACCCTATCTCAGATGTGAGTCACAACTCCAGGCCTCCAGAATTCTGACCAACAGGCTTAGATTGCGGGTTTCTGTCACAACTGCTTCATGCTCTGTTCATTTGCTCTTAGAACTCAGGAAGGTGCTGTCTTTTATTGACTAGTTTGTCATTAATAGGAGAATATACAATAAAGGATTACAGACAAATGGTTAGAAGAGGTAGAGGGGCTGAGATCTGGAAGGGTCTCCAGCACCAGAGCTTGAGTCTCCCGGGAATTGGGGTGCACCCCTTTCCCAGCATACGGATGAGCTCACTAACCTAAAAGCTCCTTGAACCTCGTACATTTTTGTGATTCTTATGGAGGCTTCATTTATGTAGGTATTGTCAATTATTAACTCCATTTTCAGCTCTATTCCTGTCTTTAGAGAAATAGAGAGACCAAAAGTTTCAGGCTTCTAATATGTATTGATCTTGCTGGTAAGTGGCCCGCACCCAAGAACCCACCAAGGGTCACCTCATTAGAACAAAAGACACTCCTATCATAGGAAACTTCAAGATATTAGGAATTCTGTGTCAGGAGCCAGGGTCAAAAACCAAATATTAGAACAGAAGTTTCTCCCAATACTCTTATTGCTAAGGAAATTGCATGAGTTTTAGGAGCTCTGTGCCAGGTACCGGGGCAGAGGCCAAGTGTGCTTGTGTGTGTCTTTTTATATCACAGTACTACAGCCTTGGATTGAAATTGTCAGGAAAATTTAAAGCAAGTATAAATAGCAAATGGTGATGTTGTATAGGACTGGTGTTTGCTTGTCCAGGGCAAGGATGTGAGTCTGTTGCTGTTGCTGGGTAATTTATAAGGAATAAACATTTATTGAGCTCATAGTTCTAGAGCTTGGGAAGTCCATGAGCAGGGCTCTGGCACCTGGTGAGGACCCTCCTGCTGCACCATCTCATGGGGGATGGCATCTCATGGTGAGAGAGAAAGTGTGCCCAAGGGGGTCTCCCTTCCTCTTCAGATAAAGTCACTAATTGCATCCTGAGCACCAACCCTTCACTCCTGACCTCAGGTAATCCTGATTACCTTCCATGGGCCCACACTTCCAAATACCATAAACATATGGCTTTGGGAATTAAGTTTCCAATACATGAACATCCAAACCATATCAGCATAAAAGGCTGCTGAGATGGATGATTAAACCAAGTTTTGAAAACTATATCAGCTGGGCCAGTGCTGTGGCACAGCGGGTTAAAGCCCTGGCCTGGAGCGCCCGCATCCCATATAGGCACTGGTTCTAGTCCCGGCTGCTCCTCTTCTGATTCAGCTCTCTGCTATGGCCTGGGATAGCAGTACAAGATGGCCCAAGTCCTTGGGCCCCTGCACCCATGTCGGGGACCCAGAGGAAGCTCCTGGCTCCTAGCTTCGGATAGGCGCGGCTCCGGCCATTGTGGCCATCTGGGGAGTGAATCAGTGGATGGAAGACCTTTCTCTCTGTCTCTACCTCTCTCTATAACTCTGTCTTTCATATTAAAAAAAAAAAAAACTATATCAGTGGGTCCGGCACTGTGGCACAGCAGGCTAAGCCTTCACCTGCAGTGCCGGCATCCCATATGGGTGCCAGTTCCTGTCCCAGCTCTTCTCTTCCAATCCAGCTCTCTGCTAAGTAGTGGAAGATGGCTCAAGTACTTGGGCCCCTGCACCCATGTGGGGGACCGGGAAGAAGCTCCAGGCTTCAGCCTGACCCATCTCTGGCTACTGGGGCTATTTGGGGTGTGAATCAGCAGATGCAAGACCTTTCTCTCTGTCTCTCCCTCTCTCTGTAATTCTACCTCTCAAATTAATAAATAAAATCTTTAATAAGGAGATGATAAGGTTGAATGGGAAAGTATCACTTAATGACACAACATAAATACAAAGGGAGCAAAAAAAAACCTGATAATAACATAAAAACTACTTATGTCAACTGCTAAGAAATTAGATCTTCGCTTGGTTAGGTTGTAAATTCCTCTTTCAGGGGCTCATGGTTGTATAATAGAGAAAGTTCATCTCCTAGCTTCATTTTAATTACCCCAAATTCCTATTTTCTCAAAGTAGAAAATAACAACTTATTGAAGTTTTAATTCCTCTTCCTGTTACTGAATACTGGTTCTGCTTATTTCTTCAAAGAGAGAAATGACTCAAACTGGACAGAAGAAAAGAGAGGAAGCCCTCAGCCAGCTAGGTAGCTATGTGGTCATTGAGTTTCTGAACAGGTAGCATCTGAGTGCACTCTTTGTGCACATGTGACTATGCAGCATCAGATGATGGTAATGAGAGAGATGTTCCAGGTATCTGATCAAAATTACCTTAATGTTTCCAGCAATAGGTGAATTCTTATCTACCACTCAAAAGTCTTGGCTGACTTTGCAGAGAGTATGTATGGCGGCAAACCCTGTTTTGCTTCTAAGTAAATTACAATACTTAGTTTTTTATTTTGTTTGAATAACTTATGGGCATTTGTGGTGGAATTCTGATTATTGAATCTCATTTTACTCAGGGCTCCCAAGGACCAGCTGGAGAACCGGGTATCCAGGTAAGCTACTGAATTAAGTTACCTAGTGCAGCAAATTTAGCTTGCTGACTTGAGGGAAATTATATACTGAAAGACTGTCCTATAAATAGCTCTTTTTATTTTCCTCATTTTCTAGGGTCCTCGAGGTCTCCCCGGGCTGCCAGGGACCCCAGGGAATGATGTAAGGACCTTGTTTACCTACTCCTGTCCCCACTCCCATTTAATCTGCACCTGTATCAGTTTGCAAAAATTTGAACCTGATGCCTCTGTTTTCAGGGAGCTCCAGGGAGGGATGGAAAGCCAGGCCTGCCAGGCCCCCCAGGTGACCCAGTACGTAAACAGACTTTTTCTGATTTATATAGCTTTAATGCACCCATGAGCCAAACAGCCTACCAAGCAGGTTTTGCTGTCCAAACTAATTAGAATGCTCAGTGACTGCTTGGTGGTTTTGTTTATCCCTAGTATTTTGTAGAGGAAAAAACTCAAGCTGGGTCAGCATTTTTGTGCGTGTGATGAATACTTATTTCCTAAGGGTATAATTCAACTGTACAATTCTGCCCCAAACTGAGCCTTAGCATATAATGTCTCAATCCCATGGAAAATTGAGCTAAAATATATTGCCACAATTTCCATTCTGTCTAATGCTGGTGACTAAAGGAATTTCATTTTTTAAAATGGAAGTCTACAGGTAAGTTACCTACAATATGGCACATATTAATTGATTCTGCATCTTTAAAATGCTGGGATGATTAAATTATGGAAGCTGGCTCAAGTGGGCTTTTTAAAAATGCATTTAGGCATTAATCCATGCTCCAAAGTTTTATTTTAAGTTAAACCTTGCTTTGAGCAACACTGAAGTCCATTTACATAGCTTCAGACTTGGCGATTATAGTTTCAGAGAACATATGGTACATGACATTGTATTAAGAGTTTTGTAAAATAAAAGCCAAATCGCCTCTCGGTTCTAAGCCTCACAAATCCATTCTACTGCTCCACTGTTTGGGCCTTATGTGTCTTTATAAGCTGCATACAGAAGCATATTTTGGCCTTACCGTCACTCCCTCACTGAATGAATCATGTGTGTATCATCTGGGAATCTCATAAAATGGTACTTGGGTTTATAGACTGTTTCTCTGAAGGGACAATTTTTTAAGACACTTGGACAAAATGGCACAGGTTGTCTCAGTGTCTGTGTTGTCTCCATCACTTAAGCTAGCTTTAACCTCTTCTGAATTTCCGAGATAAATAACCTTAAGGTAAACTTACCCCTGTACGTTTCATATTCTTCAACAGTCTGATAATGTTCTTGGCCAAAGAGTGGTTTCCTTTCAGTAAATGTTTGATCTTTATTATTTAAATCCAATAATATACTAGGGATGGAATAAAGATTGCCATGAAAATAGAAAGGTGCAGAATCCAAAGGTCTGTGTGCATTTACATATTCACAGAAGAATATGAATATATGAACTAATTCAGAAGAATACTGAGTATTTCTAGAAAGCAATTCTGAATTCTGACAGTGTCATGTATTGATTTTGATATAACAATGATTCTGACAGTCAGACCTTAGAAGCACCTTGCACCAAATTTCAATGGCATGGCATTTTCAGGAAAAATATCAACATCCTACTGTAAGTTTTCATTGTATTGTTTTATATGCATCTATATGTATAAATCCATACATTTGTGTGGTTTTTTTTCTCCTTAACTGCAGATTGCACTTCCTCTCTTGGGAGACATCGGTGCCTTGCTCAAGGTACTTTGTTGTCTGTAAGAAATTATGTGTTAATTTCCAGGACAAAAATAATAAAGAAAATCTTTACCAGAAATTGAGTTCATTGCTTTAGTTGAACTACAGCTTGATATTTGAATGGCAGAATATCTTTAAAATAGAAAAAGGAATGTGTTACAGTTAACCATATGTGTATAAAGTTAATTGAAAATAGATCTTAGTAAAAAATAAGAGTGAGAATAAGAAAGGGAAGAGGAAGGGAGGTGGGAGTGTGGGTGGCAGGGTGAGTACGGTGGAAGATTCTAAAGTTGTAACCATGAAATGTATGAAGTTTTCAACTTCAAAGCAGTATAGTTTTGCATACGTTCCTATAGACTTACTTCTAAGGGTACAGTTTAAAAATTTGCCATGGCTGGCGCTGCGGCTCACTTGGCTAATCCTCCACCTGTGGTGCCAGCACTCCGGGTTCTAGTCCCAGTTGGGGCATCGGATTCTGTCCTGGTTGCTTCTCTTCCAGTCAAGCTCTCTGCTGTGGCCAGGGAAGGCAGTGGAGGATGGCCCAAGTGCTTGGGCCCTACACCCGCGTGGGAGACCAGGAGGAAGCACCTGGCTCCTGGCTTTGGATTGGTGCAGTGTGCCGGCCATAGCGGCCATTTGGAGGGTGAACCAATGGAAAAGGAGGACCTTTCTCTCTGTCTTTCTCTCTGTCTAACTCTGCCTGTCAAAAAAAATTTGCCACGAGACCCCAAATTTCCTTAAGCTGGCTGGTAAAGATAGCAGCTTAAGTATTATAGAGATCATATGGATAGGATTAAGTGGTAAAGTGACCATATGGATAGGATCAAGTGTTAAAGTGATCATATAAATAGGACTAAGTGTTTGGTAATAATAATGGGAAGAGTTAAAAAGGAGTGAATGCTCCAACGTGGGAAGCTATCCATACAGCAGACTCATAGAATGACAATCGCTTTAAGTAGCACTCTGACCTCAGAATCAGCCCTTAAGGCATAATGATCTGGTGGAAAAGCCCAGGGGAGCATTTCAGGCATGGAAAGCCAAGACACTGGCAAAAATGTTCTACATGAAGGAACTCTGTAAGTGAGACCCCAGTGGAAAGAAGTGGCCATCACAGAAGGATATACTTTTCTCTGAAAGGAGAAGAGAACTTCTACTTTGCTTGTGGCCTTATCAAATTAGTGGATCCAAAAGGCTTCCACAGCCTAAGCAGCTCATGTCAAGAGTCTTGGGTCATCACTGATGTCATACATAAGAGTGTTAATTGTTAAATAAATAAGATTCACTATGCACTAACTTCCCACGCAGGGCCAATCTGAAGCCAGGAGCCAAGAGCTTCTTCCAGATCTCCCACATGGGTGTAGGGACCAAGAACTTGGGCTGGCTTCTACTGCTGTCCCAGGCCGCAAACAGAGAGCTGGATTGGAAGTGGAACAGCCAGGACTCACATCGGCATCCATATGGGATGCCAGCACTAAAGGCAGTGGCTTTACCTGCTACACCACAGCACTGGATCCTGGAAATCCTGTTAATTGTGTTAAGTTTTCAGACACTTCTCTGAATTCATAGTTTTTCAGATATTATCAGTGATGGTTATAAAATTATATATGCATTTTAACTCCCCTACCAACACATTAGCCCTGCAAAATGTTCCAGGTGGTAAGGTTAGTTTGGGAAATAGCACTTGTCATCCAGTTCCATTTTATGTATTCCGGCTCTAAGTAAGGTCACCATGAAGAGAACTGTTTAAACCAGCATTTTTGAGACAACTGGTTTCAGAACCTTTTCAATACAAAAAATTGTCTTCCAAGAAGCGTATTTTTAGAAATCAGACTTGCATGTATATTCACTATTGAATACCCATGGACTTTCTGGCCAACTTCTCTTCATAGGCATCTACAGGGGTTCCCTTTTCATGTTTAAACATCTTTCTGTTGAAAAGGATGAAAGATAGAGGCTTCTATTTTCTTGCTCTCTTCAGTGGTTAAAATATCTCCCCCATCTGTGGTCCTTATTCTGTGACTTTCTGGTCATATTTTTTTAAAGATTTATTTATTTGAAAGGCCAAGTTAGAGGGCCAGGGGCAGAGGCAGATGTAGAGAGAAGGAGAGGTCTTCCATCCATTGGTTCACTCCCCAGATGACTGCAATGACTGGAGCTGGGTCTATCCAAAGCCAGGAGCCATGAGCCAGAAGCTTCTTCTGGATCTCCCATGTGGATGCAGGGGCCCAAGCACTTGAGCCATCCTCTACTGCTTTCCCAGGCCATAACAGAGAGCTGGAATGGAATAGGAGCAGCTGGGACTAGAACCAGTGCCCATGTAGGATGCCGGCACTGCAGGCAGTAGCTTTACCCACTAAGCCACAGCGCTGGTCCCTGGTCATATCTTTTATTTCAACAATATATTTTAAAATGAACCTTTAGGGTCCTGCATTGTGACATAATGGATTAAGCCACTGCCTTCAAAGTTGGCATCCCATATGGGTACTGAGTTGAGTCCCAGTTATTCCACTTCCTATCCAACTCCCTGCTGATGTATCTGGGAAAGCAGTAGAAGATGGCCCAAGTGCTTGGGCCTCTGCACCCACGTGGGAGAACCAGATGAAGTTCCTGGCTCCAGGCTTCCACCTGGCCCAGCCCTTGCCATTGTGGCCATTTGGGAAGTGAACTAGAAAATGGAAGATCTTCTCTCTTTCTGTCTCTTCCTACCCCCTTACTCTCTCTCCTCCTCTCCCTCTGTAACTCTGCCTTGCAAATAAATTAAAAAAAAAAAAACTTTTTAAAAAATGAAACTTTAGGGACTGGTATTGTGGTGCAGTGGGTTAACGCCCTGGCCTGAGGTGCCAGCATACCATATGGGCGCAGGTTCAAGACCTGGCTGCTACGCTTCCCATCCAGCTCTCTGCTGTGGCCTGGGAAAGTAGTAGAAGATGGCCCAAATCCTTGGGCCCCTGCACCCATGCGGGAGACCCGGAAAAAGCTCCTGGCTCTTGGCTTCAGATTGGTGCAGCTCCAGCTATTGCAGCCAATGGGGAGTGATCCCTTGGATGGAAGACCTCTCTCTCTGCTTCTCTCCTCTCTCTCTCTCTGACTTTCAAATAAATAAATAAATCTTTAAAAAAATGAACCTTTATGGGGCAGGAGCTGTGGCATAGGCTAAGCCTCCACCTGCAGCACTGGCATCCCATATGGTCACCAACTCATGTACCAGCTGCTCAATTTTGATCCAGTTCTGTGCTTATGGCCTGGGAAAGCTGGAAGACAGCCCAAGTGCTTGGGACCCTGCACCCACATGGGAAATCTGGAAGAAGCTCCTGGTTCATCACTTCAGATTGGCAGTTACAGCCATATGGGGAGTGAACCAGTAGATGGAAGACTTTTCTCTTTGTCTTTCCCTCTGTCTGTAACTCTGCTTCTCAAATAAATAGAATCTTTAAAAAAAATTAAAAAGATCCTTTATAGAGCTTTTAACAGATACTTTTCTTTAGCTCAGTGATAAGACATGTTTATCTTATGAGCTCACTTCAATTCAAGTCATTCTAAATTAGATAAACATTATAGAGAAAGCTAGGGAACTGAAATTCCACTTAGATATCCTGTCTCCACTTAGACTAGGCAGAGGAGTGAAGTCCAAGTCACTCATGTAATTATTTCTTACACTGACTCGTAAAATGTTAGTGAATTGTGTGATAGTTACCTTGCTGATTTTTTGCTCCCAAAAGGAGAAATCTTTTATTTATATTTGTTTTTCCTTTCTTTGTCTTTTCATAATTTACACTATTGGTTGTATGAGTTCTTTAATCTTGCTAGCTATTCCACATTTTATTCCTTTCTCCCATTTTAAATATGTGGCTAAGCAATTAAATCTGTATACCTACGTGTATATTTGTAATTTTCATTTAAGTATCATCAGACTTTTTCAAATAAAGCTCACCCTTATCATAGGCAGATGTTGTTGGTTAGTTTTGTAAATAATTTTTAACTTCACAAAAACTAATCTTTTCAAATTGCATTCATCCCTGGAAACAGTAAATTGACAATTGCTATATAACTCTTCTCTGGCAAAGGCTCAAGCACAGCTTTAAACCAGATCCAACCTCACTTCTACAGATGCTTTTATAAATCTGTCAATAACTTTTTTCTTTCATTCCTCAGAACTTCTGTGGCAACTGCCAAGCCAATGTCCCTGGGCTGAAAAGTAACAAAGGGGAGGATGGAGGAGCTGGTGAACCTGGAAAGTACGATTCCGTGACCCGGAAGGTAAGAAGCTTAGTTGCATGTGTGCAGACTCCATAGTTCACACAGTGCGATCTCTCAATTCTCTTACTCCCCTGTCCTCCAGGGTGATATAGGACCCCGGGGTCCTCCAGGAATCCCAGGCAGAGAGGGACCAAAGGTAAGGGCAGTCTGTCCTCCTCTCCTATGTGAGACCCTCATGGAGGGGAAAAAAGGAAAAACTCATCTTAAAATGTACTTTCTAAAATATTTGCATATATTTGTATACGGGAGTAAGGGATAACTACACGTTGTCATTAATTTGTTCCCTGAGCCTGTCCAAATTAAATATCCTAAATGTCCAAGATTTTATTTTCATTGTTCTAAAGGGTAACAACATGACTGAGTGTACTGGCTGAATTTATTATGTTTTTAGGGAAGCAAAGGAGAGCGGGGCTACCCTGGAATACCTGGGGAGAAAGGTGATGAGGTAAGGTTCTTCTCTGATGATACATCCCTATTATTATTGGTTCTCTTTACTTGACTCCATAAGGCAAAGACAGTTTTCCAATAGCTCACACTTAATACTAAGACCAATAATTTTTTTTGAAAAAATGAGATAGGCCTTTTTAAACATTAGTACACTTTTAATAATAATAATAATAATATATATTCATATCTATTACTAGTGGTCCAGATTTTTGAGACAAAAAAGGCACGAATTTATTATATCAAGATAAAAAAGTAAGGGGAAGCAGGAAGGGGAAATTTGCTGAAATCAATTCCAGGGAGACAAAAAGAATTGATGGAGTAGTTGAACAACCAGCCCAGGAGTGAGGCAGCTCCAGAAGTCAGCAGGTCTTGTCTGGGACGATGCTCTAACATGGTTCAAATCCAGTGACCTTGGTTTGTCTGCATCTCTGCTCAACTTCCAAACTCTTGGGAGAAATAAACAATCAGAAGAATCTAATTGAACTAGTTTAGATTAGCTACTAACACCCAAGATTAGGGCCCTGAGTCAAATGTGCTTTTGAACTAATGGTATAATTTTCTGACTTAAAGCCATGTGATGTTCAGGATATCATTCTTTTCCTGCATAATTCACATTAACTTTTAGAAAAACCAATTAGAATGATGAATTGTTGTTAGTTTAAACAGCTTTGATCCTAACAGTTCTTAATGAAAGTTAAGTAAGCCATCTGGCCTATATTAACCTTCATGTAATGCAGAAAAGCATGATGATATAAAATATATTTCTCTAGTGGGAGTTAAATTTCACCTTACAAATGATCATCACATATTATTGTTTCTAGTTAATATTAATTCTGTTCTGGAAAACTCTGAGATTTCATTCCATTTCTTTTACAAAGAAAAGTAACATTTCATTGCATCCATAAATAAAACAGTAAAGGCACTTTATTTTCAAAATAAGTAAGAATTAATGAGCTATTGCTTTCTCAAGTTCCACAGGTTTCACTAAAGTACCAGCACAATAAGTGATTTTCATAGTGCAACAGCTTTTAACTGCCTAGATTCAAGATGCAGGTTTTAGAGGCAGTTGAGAAAGTAATAACAGAAAGACCAGGAAATAATTGGAATTCAGGGTTTTTTTATAAATGACTTGAAGTTAAATTCACTAGAAGTTAATTTCTATTGATTTTTGCTGGTACTTTGCTCTCTTGGGGAACTGAAATCCATTAACACTCCCCACTGTTTTAGTGTGTTCACTCTTAGGTACACCTGATGGATTCTTTGACAGCGACTAGACAAAATTTTTCTCAGAACTTATTACATGAGAATATTCCAACATGTTCAAGAGATTGTTTCTGTTACGTCTTCACATCGCATGAGTAATATGAATAATCCTGAAGTAATGGCTTGACTCACTTATGCTTTTTGAGAGGAATAGGGTATTGTATCTTTCATCTCTCAGATAAATTAAAAAATTGTAAATATAATCTGTTTTCCACTTGGACTCAGATACTACCTGAAATAAAAATTTAGTGATTTGTTGCCGGCGCCGTGGCTCAATAGGCTAATCCTCCACCTTGCAGCGCCGGCACACGGGGTTCTAGTCCCGGTCGGGGTGCCGGATTCTGTCCCGGTTGCCCCTCTTCTAGGCCAGCTCTCTGCTGTGGCCCGGGAAGGCAGTGGAGGATGGTCCAAGTACTTAGGCCCTGTACCCCATGGGAGACCAGGAGAAGCACCTGGCTCCTGCCTTTGGATCAGCTCAATGCGCCGGCCGCGGTGGCCATTGGAGGGTGAACCAACAGCAAAAGGAAGACCTTTCTCTCTGTCTCTCTCTCTCACTGTCCACTCTGCCTGTCAAAGATAAAATAAAAAAAAAAAATTTAGTGATTTGTTTAAATGAACAAAGTTTTCACCAAGAATATATGCATTTCCAACTACCCAATAAATTTCTTTTTAATGTATCTGTGTAGCAGCTAATCTTAACAAACTCTCAAATATCTATTCTGCTCTTACTGGAAAGATACAGAAGGACAGCCCATCTCTTTGAAGGCTTCTAATTGTTAAGTCTTCAGTTGAATTGGTTTGATAATGAGAGAGAGGAAGTCCCTGTTTGTTGCTCATAGAAAAGTGACATCCTCCACAGGGTATTTTTCCCAAATTTTGTTACACAATTCAAGATAGCAACTCGTAAGATGCTGCTAGATCACAAACTCACTTCTCATAGAAAGAGTGAATTGGAGAACAGATCTTCCTGCAATACTTCAGAATAATAGATGATAAATAGGATATGCAAAATGTTACTAGCCATAAATTATAGCAACAGGAATGTAAATATTCTTAGTAGCAACTTAGTTAGAACTTAAAATATCAGAGCAGAGAAAAACTTGGCTCTAGTGACCCCTGAATAAGTATGCAATAAGTTTTCATTTGCATTTTAGTTTGGCATTCTATGCTAAATTGACTGTCCAGTTTAATATATATTTGTCTTCTTTAATGACCATCTTGTCGTCGGAAATTATCTTATTGCCCTTTATGCACCCGTAGTAACTTTTACCCTTACTACAAAATTTCAGCTTATTCATAGAAAGACTGCTGAGAAGGTTTTTTTAATTTATAGACTGAGGTTTATTTTAAAGTGTAATGTGGTCATCAAAGGTTAATGAGTCCCAAGCTTATAAATTTGACTACCTACAACTCAGCATCTCTAGCCTAATTCAGAGTTGAGACCTAACGTAGCAAAAAAAAGGGAATATATATGTATATATTTCTTATACATATACATATAGAGGTAATTTTATGGAAATGTATATATTTTGAAATAAAGTGATTTATGGTATAACGTGTAATGTCCAGCCATTTAAAATTTCCATCCTCAAAGGAAATGTTTTTCCTTTCCATTTATAAAGTTACAAACAAGTTAATGGTAGGAGATTAACAAGAACCAGGATAACTTGCTGAGGTATATAGTTCGCAATGAGTACTCAAGCCTGTACACACAGCATCACCAATGAGATTCAGAGAATCTTGAATAAAAAATATGCCCACATTCTTTACCACAAGATTTTGCCCAAAACATTACATGAAGTGTTCCACCATGTGCAAGATAATTCTTTTCAGTGTTTATTCATATTATATAACATGAAAAAACCTGAAGTCATAGGTAATCCTGTTTGGCATTGGATGTACGGGCCTGGCAGAGTGTGGTTCTTGAGCCCATTGATGCGAAAAACCATGATCCAGCTCTTGGTTCTACAGACCTCTCATAGATACACAGTAATTTTAATATAATCACTTCTTCTAATATTTTAATATATAATAAACTCACAACTCAAGAAAGTAAAGAGGAAAGGAATTTTGTTGTAAGAGCAAATGGTTTGGCAATATCAGAAATACTTTATACAGAGAATTAAATTCTGAAAGAATGAAGCTATTCAATCTAGAACTTTGTGTATAACATGGTTATCTGAAATAACAAAAGGGTATTTTATAATACTTTTTTCTGATTACTGAAGTGATAGAAGCTCATCATAGAAAAATTGGGAATCACACAAAAGTACGAAAAAGATCAAAGCTATCCTTATTCCCACTGCCCTGGAAGGACTGTTGAGAATGTTAATATTCTGATTCATAATCTCTTATCCACAATTCCAAAATCCAAAAGCCCTAAAACACTGGAAATATTCCCATTTGCAGCAAATTCATTTGGCAGTAAAATATTACCCTACCTCATGTAGAGCTGGCTTATTTATTCCACTCTATCAGAATATCATGTTCTGCTACCGAAATATTTGTGTGCTTGTTGGAAGGTGCTGCCTCAGGCACCACCAGGAGTGTTACAGAATGTGTTACCTTTGTTTAAAAAAAATCCAGAATGCTGAAACACCCATGACACTAAAGTTTCCAAATAAAACATTTATCTGTTTGTCATAATAAAATAATAAAAATCTGCCATTCCTGTCTTTTAGGAAATATATTTATAATTGTTTAAAATTTAAACCCTACATTATATAATATTTGACATTTATTTGTCCATGCTACCCAATAGTTTCCTAAAACATTATTTTAATACTTGAAAAATGTTTCATGTTTTGAGTTTTATGTAATCTATTTAATACTATATTCTTGGTACACTTGGTAAAGGGAAAAAATTAATTACACAAGTTACTAGTTAATCTTGCCAGTTCTTCCTTGACATATAAACATATCAACTTCTTAAATCCTATCCCATAAAATTAGCATTATTCGGTAAATCTAAGAGGAGGAAGGTAGAGGAAATCTGTTTTTATGGTCAAGCCACTAAAGGGTTCTAAATTTAAATTCATGAATGAGCCTGAACAACTAAGCTAAATATTATATTGTAAAGCATTTTCCATTTTTCCACTACCTGAGTGAAGCTGCAGTATAACTGTATATTTCTGCAATGGCCTTCTGCCAGTCTGACATGTGTATCTCCATGCTTCAGCCATATGGGGTTCTCAGTGGTGCTGCTGCTGATGGGGCGGGGGGCTCTATAGGAACAGAAATGCTCCATGAATCATCATGCAGATTAAGTCATGTTTGTGATAGAGCCCATGAAATGGCATTTGGTGTTCCATCCTTACACTTTGAAAATGGTTATAGGTATATGCCATAAATCATGATTCTCAATTAGAATACATGCCAATTTTCAATGATCAAGATATATGGTTAACTAAAATAAATATCTTATTTCCAATGATATAACAGATTTTATGATAGCAACTATCTGTTCTAGGGTCTTCAAGGAATTCCAGGCCTTCCAGGTGCTCCAGGCCCAAGTGGACCCCCTGTAAGTATTTGTTGAAATGATTGTGCTCACAGCTCATATTTACTGGGATGACCCAAGATGAATTAATATTTCTCATTGTTTTGAGTTGGCTGTGCCTCTATATAGATGGTTCAGCTATTGCCTAGAAAACAAGCCTTATCCAGCAACTCAGATTTCCATTTAGGATTACTTAAGGCTTCTCATCATCCTGGAGACTTGTAATCAGAATTTCACTAGGCCAGAAAGAAATCTGTGATTTAAGCTATTCTATTTGAAATAGGAATTGGATATAAAAGAGCATTCAATTTGTTGATTATATTTTTTTAGCTCCAATCTTTGAATGAGATATTCAGATAGCACTATAAACTGAGAATTTAGTTTCTAGAAGGGAAAAAAATGGGCCAAGAATGATCAGATTTAATTCATTTTTATTCCTACATGTGAACTGAAATACCTTCAGTTTTACTGAAAGCTTGCACTGCCCCTCAAACACACCACCATAGCCACTGCGACTTTGTGGAAAACAGCCATTCTGTTTTCCAAGGATAGACTCTCTTTTCCTTTCCCACCTCCAAAGCACAATCTCTTTTCCAGGCAGAATTCATTCTAGAGTCACCAAATAAAATACAGGACACACAACTAAATTTTAATCTCAAATAAATAAGTTCTTAGTAAAAGTTTATCCAGCATATTATATTTTTATTTGTTAAATCTAGCATCTCAATTCACATATCAACTTCTCCATCTCTTCCCTTCTTGAAATTTCTATAGAGTCTTTACTACACAAGTAGAAATGAGCCTTAATTACTTAATATTTTAAATCATGAATTTGTGATAATAATAAAAGTTCTATCATTTATGCTTTCGCAATTGTATGTAGAACAAAGGTGACTTTAAATTGCACACTGAATTTAAAAGTTATGAAAAACGTTGTGAAAGGAATCCTGAAAATTATATCTAACTCTCTTCCTAAAGAAGAATTAAAATTAAATTTTACTTCTCATTCATAAAATGCAGATCACATTAGTCAATATGCACATTGTTAATTTTGCTGTCTTGGTGTATCTAAAATGTTGATCACTCCAAAATTATAGCTCATTTAGAAAGGCATAATGTTATGTAAATTGCCATTTAAACAGCAAAGCTACATTCTTAAATGTATCAAAAGGTTCCAATTAAGGTCATTAAATGTGGTTGGTCAAGGTGAAAAAGTGACCAAAAATACAAATTTTACCCTTCTGAGCGCTTATCAGCAGGATACAGCTGCTATATCAGCCTAAAGAAAACTGAGCTTATAAGACTGATTTAATTAGGATTGAATGACCTTCAGAATGTGTAAGTTTTAGCAACCAACTTCCCAGACCCTTCGGCCATTTAGTGTTGTTTCTGTAACAAACTTGGCTTTGTGTTTTGCAGGGCTTATTGGGAAGAACTGGACACCCTGGTCCAATGGGAGCAAAGGGTGACAAGGTAAGAAGAAAAGCCTCACCCACTATCTGAATCTGGGATTGGGGTAGAGGAGGGGCAGTGTGAGACCTGTTACAAAGAGATCCATGGAATCGAGCAAAGTCTGAAAATACAGATGATGGCAGGGAGTAGTTCACGTTGTGGTGGACTAAGAATGACATGGATGCCAAAGTTTGCCTGAAAACAGATATTATCCCTAGGGGAAAGGATGAGGAGAATACTGGTGCCACATAGCAAAGATGCAAACTGGACTCAGGGTCCTGGGCATCTGTCTGTATGTAGAGTGGGGTGAGGGAAGCCTCCCGAGGGAGTGCAGGTCAAGTGGTTAGCATCAGGCAGTGCCAGCCACAGGTGCTGTCTTAGTCTGGGTGGTTATAAACAAACACTTATTTCTTACAGTTCTAGAGGCTGGGAACTCCAAAATCTAGATGCTGGCAAATTTAATGATCTGGGACTTGCTGTCTTATTCTAGGTGGCACCTGCTAAGTTATGTCCCCACATAGTGGAAGGACAACCAAGCTCCACAAGTCTCTCTTATGAGGATACTGATCCCATTCATGAAGCTTCCACCTCATTACCTAATCACCTCACCAAAATTCCACCTCCTAATATCACCAAGAGGTTTAGGATTCATTGTATGAATTTGCAAGGGACACAAACATTTAGAACATAGCAGGTGCCAAGGCTCCAGATAGCATGCTGGCTATTAGGACCAGGATCCCAATAACAAAGGGCTTGCTGAGGTAATCTACAAGTTTTGTCCATTGATGGTTATGGAGGAAATTCACTAAGGAACCAGGACAACTTACTCTCTAAGGAGAACAGTTGTCAGACATATGGGTTGTTGTGGGCATGAGGAGGACCAGCAATAGAAAAGTCCCAGGAAGACCACAGGGCTTCAAGGGGTTACCCAATGTGGGGTTTAAACTGGTCCCAAAGTGTGAGTCCAGGCAAAAGAGAACAGATGAATGAAATAAGCCTAGCTATTCAGATTAAGGAAATAAGAATCACATGTGTATATGAGCCACTCAAGTAACTTTTACCTCTCGTCAGGGTTCAAGATCCCTGACCAAAATGGTGCATAATAGCATCAGGAGCAAAAGAATCCCAGGAAATTTTAAAGGAAACAATATGCTTATTCCAGATCATCTCAGCTCATTTTTTTTTTCTGGCAATATCCTAAAGAGCTTGCCCAACCCCACCAGCCTTTTTTCTCTGTTCTTTATGGAAATTCTTCAGTCATAGCCTTGCCTTTGAAGTTAATGGGAATTCCACACTGAGATGAGCTTGGGGGCACAAATCAGAGGGAAAAGGATGACTTTTAATTGTGCCAGGGGGAAAAATGTCTGCTCAATAGGCACATGTTTTTCCTTGTCTGTTGACTCCAGAGAACTTAATTCTCTGAAGGACTCTGACAGTAGCCAGCAGAAAATGATGTGTCTTAGAGAGATAGCCACCATCAAAGCAGTGTGGGGAAAGATAGAATGAACTCATTTTTTGTCACACATTTTCAGGCAAATACATTGCAAACAAAACTTTACAGTTTATTGATAAACATGCAAATAAAAAATGTCTGACCTGTATTTTGTTATTAGAAATGGAGAGATATTAGAATGAAATCCTCCATCATATTTATGAAAAGGAACTGAAATTCCTCAAAGTTCTTGGGCACTGGGAGTAGGAATTTTGCTCTCCCTGGACTCTTTAAGTAATCATGTGTTGCCATTTCTCCTAATATATAGGAACTTAAAAGATTTATGAGGGTGTTATTTTAAAAGAAGAGCACAATTATAGGAAGAATGAAAGATACCAGAGGGACGACAATAACTCTGCTTATTGTGGACTGAAAAGTTTTCCACGTTTTGTAAAAGTAAAACAAGTGTATTTTTTCAAGTTCCAACTTGAATTCATTTTTCTTAAATTCCATTTTCCATCTGCTGCTCCTATAAGCAGAGTTTCCAAGGCTGTTTAAATTTATAGACCATTTCCCTTAACCAGTGTGACACCACAGCCACTTCTGTTCAGTGGGACATATCTGAGTTAGATATAAAGTCTGATATTAACCTGGGAAATGGAAAAAGTTTCTCCTCCTTCAAACACAACACAGGCTGTGGTTTTCTACTTTGGTCAAATTATGTGCGTGGCCTTTGAGGTTCCCAAAAGATGAAGGTGGTGGAGGTAAGACTAAAAGTGATGGCTGACCCCAAGGGCTTCTGTCCCAGAGCCCAGCCCCATCTTGTGGGAACTCCACTCTGCACCCTGATGTTGGGAAAGATCTCCTGACAGCGTTTCAAGTCCAGGACGTGATCACCTGGGTTGTCTGCCTCCATTTAAAGTAAGCCTGGAGCTCCCACAATGAGAGTCTGTGTGATCTGGGAGAAGTCATTTGCTTCTCCTGTGGTCTAGAAATGCACTTTCCTGGGTCAAGGAAAAAACCAAGCTGAATAAGACTTGGCAGGGCTGAAACAAAATTGATTTCAGAAGCTAGCTCTCTGAACAAGCACAGTCTTGTTTATAACTCTGGGCTAGAGATGTCTAAACCATTGATTTTGGTCTCTCTGTCCTTCGTAGGGCAGTGAAGGCCCCCCTGGGAAACCCGGACCACCTGGACCACCTGTGAGTTGTTTCAAGTTTGAAATTGAACATTCATGTATTTACTTAACATGATTATAACTCAGAGATCATATCAGATATTATCCAAGGGGCCGATGTTGTGGTGTAGCAAATAAAGCCACAGCCTACAGCACCGGCAGCCTATATGGGTACTAGTTTGAGTCCCAGCTGCTCCACTTCTGATCCAGCTCCCTGTTAATGGCCTGAGAAAGCAGCGGAGGATGGCCCAAGTGCCTGGGCCACGACACCCACATGGGAGACCCAGAAGAAGCCTCTGACTCCTGATTTTGGCTTGGCCCTGTCCAATCGCTGTAGCCATTTGGGAAGTGGGCCGGCAGATAGAAGATCCCTGTCTGTCCCTCCTTTTCTCTCTCTCTAACTCTGACTTTCAAATAAATAAGTAAATCTTTTTTAAAAAACAGATATTCTTCAAGATAAAAGCATCCTGAGTTTTACTGTTTAAATATAAATGATGGCCAGTGCATGTTTGGGGAGACTGAGTTTCTTCCCCCTTTAGCTCAGTCCTGCAAAATTGCAGACTGTAGACTCCCCAGACTCAGGAGAGCTGGTTGTGTGCTTCCTGGCTCCACATTTCATGCCCTGGGGACCCTGGGAAAGTGATTGAACCTCAATGAACCTCATTCATGGGAGAGAGGGGCTGTAAGGAGAGAGCCCTTCTGGCAATTCAAGCTAGGAGAAAATTTAGTCATATCTTAAATGTGTTCATTCCCATCCATGATGTCTGAGACGCAAGGAAATTCTATTTTTATAGCACCTAGTGAACAAAATATACAAGAGCCATGGATGATTTTTATGCTGGTGATTGAGATAGATGCGCTCTCTGTCAGGGAGGCTATGAATTGGAGAGGTGCCTCTGTCTGTGGCAAGTCTGCCCTCATGTGGGGCCATGCTCACATCGCAACAGAGCTGAGATGCAAGACAAGCTGTCTTTTCCATCCCACCTCACAGGACGGTTTAAGAAGCCAAACTCAAAAGAGAAAGTATAGAATTCATCTGGGACTTTGGAGACACTGGAGGTACAACTTTAGGAACATAGTGATTCTTAAAGTGTACTCCCTCCGCAGTGGACGGAATAGCAAATACAGCATGAGCTCGTGAAAGGAGCCTCTGGTTTTAAAATGCACTGAAGAAATCTCCCCCTTCCCTCTGAATCTCCAAAACCACTCATCCTTCAAGACACAGACAAAATATATTCTCAGGAAACTCCTTCTAGAAATATCATATAGACGTATCCATTGACTCTCTCTGCACATAACACACACAAATATAGTATGCATTCAGTAACTGTCAAGTGAACGAGTGAACTAATAAAGGAGTGGATAGAAGAAGCATTTTTCTTCCATAACTAGTATTTTGATGATGCATGTGAATTGTGTTCCCATAGCACTGGCTACCATTATCTAAAAACAATGAATTAATGGCTTGTTCAGTTTTGCAACTGAAATGTGAAAAGAATTGCAAAAAGGAAAATGCAACTCAGATTGTCGATTCTATGGAAACTTAAAGCTAAAAGATTCTAACTAAAATTTTCATGTGCATTTTTTATGAAATAGTAGAATATGATTTCTTCAAACTATGGAACAATTTCTCTTTTTCAAAGATTTATTTATTTGAAAGTCAGAATTACTGAAAGAAAGAGAGACAGAAAAAGTCTTCTGGCCGGCGCCGCGGCTCACTAGGCTAATCCTCCACTTTGCAGCACCGGCATACCAGGTTCTAGTCCCAGTCAGGGGACACCGGATTCTGTCCTGGTTGCCCCTCTTCCAGGCCAGCTCTCTGCTGTGGCCAGGCAGTGCAGTGGAGGATGGCCCAAGTACTTGGGCCCTGCACCCCATGGGAGACCAGGAGAAGTACCTGGCTCCTGCCATCGGATCAGTGCGGTGCACCGACCGCAGCGCGCCGGCCGCGGCGGCCATTGGAGGGTGAGCCAACAGCAAAGGAAGACCTTTCTCTTTGTCTCTATCTCTCACTGTCCACTCTGCCTGTCAAAAAATAAAAAATAAAAAAAAAATCACATGAAAAAGTCTTTTATCCATTGGTTCACTCCCCAGATGATGCCAATAGCTGGAGCTGAGCCAGTTCAAAGCCAGGAGTCAGGAGCCTTCTCTGGGTCTCCTATATGGGTTCAGAGGCCCCAAAACCTGGGCCTTTATCTCTACCACCCCTCACCCCTGCTGCATTCCCAAGTGCATCAGCAGAGAGCTGGATCAGAAGTGGAGCAGCCGGGCCTAACCAGCACCCACGGGGGATGTCAGGTGCTGCAGGCGGTGACTTAACCTGCCATACCACAATACTGGCTCCAAGTTCTTCATAAGTGTTGGTTACACAGTGACTTTATATGTCAACTTCTTTTAAGAAGAGATTTATTTATTTATTTGAAAGGCAGAGTTACAGAGAGGCAGAGAGAGAGAGAGTCTTCGATCCACTGGCTCACTCCCCAGTTGGCTGCAAATGCCAGAGCTGTGTCCATCTAAAGCGAGGAGCCAGGCGCTTCCTCCAGGTCTCCCACACGGGTGCAGGGGCCCAAAGACTTGGGCCATCTTCCACTGCTTTCCCAGGCCATACCTGAGAGCTGGATTGGAAGTGGAGCAGCTGGGACTCAAACTGGCACCGATAAGAGATGCTGGCACTGCAAGCAGTGGCTTTACCTATATGTCCCAGCACCAACTCCAATGTCAACTTTTTATAGGAACTTCTTGTTCTGCTTTGTTCTAAAGAATACATTTTTTGTAAAAACATCCACACAGGCTTTAGGTAATGGCATCATCCCATTTGCCTTCATTTTCTGTTTTCTATGAAGAGACTGTGGGAAAAAATTACTTTTCAGGAGCAGATTGTTCCCTATTCACATCTTCATCAGCGCAACCACATTATACCCGGCAGGTCAGCAGGCTGTGAACAGTTAGCGTAAATTGGCAATTCAGAAACTGAATTTTAATGAGCAAATAATATTTTTCTGCAAATACATTAGCGTCTCTTCTGTCAAACCTGAGCATTAATCAAACCCCAACAGAGAGTGTGTGAGCTCCAGGTGTAGCTCACTGTCTTGTCATGTCCTTCCCTATATTTTCTATGAAAAAGCTAAAAATGAAAACTTTGTATTATTTTACTTTATTAAAGTCACTGTCTAAAATGAGACAGGAAACACTTCAAAAATTGAAAAATTAAAAAGTAGCATAGGTGCACTATCTTTTGGTAAAATGATGAAAGGTAAAGAATTAACTTGAAAGGATAATTCTGTATCTCATTTGTTTCCTAAGGGTGTACCATTCAATGAAGGAAACGGCATGAGCAGTTTATATAAAATCCAGGTATGCACAGTTATAAGAGTGCAAAATTGTTTTGCAGATAGAGGTTGTTACAAATTCTTCTCATCTTTTCCTTTCTTGTTTGCTTTTCCTTTCAAGGGAGGTGTGAATGTGCCCAGTTACCCAGGGCCACCTGGTCCCCCTGTGAGTATACTTGCTCTTCTTCAAGCACACTCGAGTTCAACAGCCACAGTATAAAAAAAAAAAAAAAACCTAGTCCCTGAAAAATGCATGCTACAACTATAACCAAATTTTACAAGATAAAATTCTAATACAATGGAGAAAATGGACCCAAGGAAGTTAATAAAGCATCTTCCATAATCCTGTCACCATTTTAATTGCAAATCCAAGAACTGAAATAATGCCCAAGAAACCGCTTTCCTGGGAATCCCATAAGTTATGTTTTTTAACTTGATTCTTCATGCCCAAACTGGAACAAAAACAGAACTTGCAAATATTCTTATGTGTATTAAAGAAAATTGGACAAAAATGTTATGTATTCTGTAATTTTGCTTTGGTCATTATTTTAAAAGTAACTTGATTTTTGTTTGCTTGTTTTTTAATATAGGGCCCTAAAGGAGATCCTGGGCCAGCGGTATGTCTGTTTCCACATCTTCTGTCATTTAGCAAAGGGTCTCTGTTAACGTTTGAAAGCAGAGCATCAGGCAAAGATGTCTGCTGTCTTAGGCGTTCATCAATTAATGTTTTGGAGGCAACAAATAGGCCAGGAGTGTGTTCTTTATTTTTGAAATGCATTAGTCCTGATGTTGTCACTGCCCTAAGGTTCATCTACTTCCATCAGTTTGTTTTAAAATCATCCTGTGATGGAGGAAGGCACATATAAAACTCCTGATAAATGGGACACTTTCTTCTAATAGCCCTCTTCTGATGATTGATTGGGTTTTAAGTAGATTGTAGAAGAAAAATACTTACTAGAAAGGAATTCCTTACCATGTTTCACATCTTCCCCAACAGAAGAAGGAAGGGACTGTTGATTTGCTTTGACTGTCTGAGGAATTTATTCTGCAGGAGATGTGTGCTGTCATAAACCTGCTATTAGAAGGAATGTATCAGGAGGTTAGCACTCTGCACGGAAGGAGAGTGTGTCCTCCAGCTTCTCAAAGGATGATAATTGTCCTCAGCATCTTTCTCAGCACAGAGCCTCACTGTAAAAGTTCTGCCAAATTCAATTAGATTCCTTTGACTGCTTGGCATTTTTTCCTGTCATGTCCCTTTCAAGCATTTGCCCCTCCCTTTGTGTTCCATATGAGTATCTTTTTTGAAAAAACTTATTAATATAAACAGAACAGATTTCATATGCTTCATAGATACAGTTCTAAGAAGATAACCATACTTTCTTCCCTCCTTTTCTTCCTCACTCAATCCCTCTCCTTTTTCATTCATTTTTCTTTAATTTTTGCAAAGACATAATTTTAATCTACTCTATAATCACAGGCTACATATCAGAGAAAACATATAATATTTCTCTTTTTGAGACTGGCTTATTTCACTAAGCATAATGGTTTCCAGTTGCACCCATGTTGTAGCCTTTGGATATATGTTTGAAACTCAAATATATCTAAAACTGAAATGAACTTTCAAACCATTTGCCATAGCCATGTGAAAGAATTTAAAGCTCCTTCATGATAGCACAGGTTGATAAAGCTCAATGAATACGTTTTAAACCAGAGAAGAAACAAGCCAATAAAAAGTAATCCTTTTACATCTAAGTGTATTTCCAAAGGAGATGTAATAAAGAGCTTGTTGTTGTGGCTGGGCAATATACATTAGAAGTCAATTTGTTTTCCCTGGAAGGTAGTATTTCAGCTACTCACTGTCATATTCTGAACCCCAAATATGTAATTTAAGTTTCCTTTGTTTTGCTCTTCCCGCCACCCTTTCTTTATTTAGGACATTTCATGTTTTCATCAACTATATCCTTCACTCTAATTTTAATTTTCATTCATCTTTTTGGTGAAATTTTCTGCTGATCTTTTCCTCTCCTACTCACATACACACAAAACAACCCATCTGAATCATCTAGATAAAGCTAGACTTCTCATTGACTTTTCTGCAATATTTTTCCAAGTTCTTTTTTTTTTTTTTTTTTTTTGACAGGCAGAGTTAGACAGAGAGAAAGGTCTTCCTTCCGTTGGTTCACCCCCCAGATGGCCGCGACGGCTGGCGCTCTGTGCCGATCCGAAGCCAGGAGCCAGGTGCTTCCTCCTGGTCTCCCATGCAGGTGCAGGGCCCAAGCCAAGTTCTTACATTAGTAATTTAGATTTAGATGAGAGTTTTTTTTAAAGTTTCAAAATAAATTTTAAATTATAATTCACCCACATTGGAAAGTGACTGGAAACAAAAATATAGACATGTTTTGGTAGAACTGGAAATGATGGGGCTTCAGATTTCTTAGTGGCAACCAAGAATAAAAAATAAAAAGTTAATGTAGGATGTTCCCTGCTTTTAGAGACGTGAGGTTGAGTGAGTGAAGCACAAAAATGGAAATTGAATAAAGATTGTATAAATATTCATGATTATTCTAGAACAAAACTGTAGAATTACTCTTTCGTGGTTTGCATCAACACCATGGGCAACCCTCACCATCCACTGTGTTGCCCTGTATGTAAAACAATACCTCCTGCTGTAGAAATAAGCCAGGAATGGTAGACTGGGAGTCGCAGAGAAGAAGACTGAAAGGTTTTTTGTGGCAGGTAGGGGGACGTTTCCTCTTTCAGTACCCTTCAAATCCCAGTGATGAGAGATCTATACCACATTTTCTAATCTATTCAGTAAACCCCCATAGAGGAAAATTACCTTTAATTGAATTTATTATCTTCTAAGACAAACCATTTCATTCATTTGGTATTCAATTTGTAAGTAATTTTCAATTAAATATTTAATTAGTAACAACTTTCAAATATTGATTGAGTACCTGCTTTGTGCTAAGGACTGTTGAAAATGTAAACAGAGAATCAAAGAATGGATTTCCTTTGTTGATAAGCCAGGGTCCCTTTTACAGAGCTGTGTGCAGCATAGAATCTGAAACTCTTTTTTTTTTTTTCTCATGGACTGGTTGCATATTAGTGGTCATTTAAAAAGATTTCTGGAACATAAAAAAGTATCAAGTCATATGCCTATTCACTAAGTATTTTGTAGTAAGGGCAATATAATAAATGATATTGGAAGTTAGAACATGGATAATATTTTTAAGCAGACTGAAATTATGTAAAATGTGTAAAAATACATTTACAGAGAATAAAGTTTGGAAGCTGTCTTTTCTATGTGATTATGTTTAAAATATCCAAAGTCCTAAGGAAATGTTTATAGTCAACAGTTATTCATTAACAATAAAGTATCAAACAACTACCCACTTTCAATCCTTCTTGATTTAAAAAACACTGTGTAAAAATATGTGGATGTCATATCATTTGATATATAGATATTTGCAAATGTTGGCATCACTGAATCGTACCATCAACGTAATAATATACACTTTGTCATTTTATGATCACTGTCTTGAAGCCCACATTATGTGATAGTAATATCCCTGCTTTCAAGTAAAACAGTATGTGTATGTATAAAATATCTACATATGAAGTGACTATGGCAAAATGTTAACAATTATTAAATACAAAAACATAAATATAATAAGATAACAATAAAACCCTAATGTTGCTTTGTTCAGAGTTAGCAGCCTTTTTCACCATCAATTTTCTATATGTGTTCATGAGGACTATAGGGTCCAGTCAGCCTGGGAACCTGTAAAAGGATTTTTGTTTGTTTTTTAATGGAAAACACTTCCCTGTCCCATTTCAGTGACCTATCAGCTTGAGCAATGACTTAAGGAATCCCTGAAGATGCTTCTCTGGGTTTATCCTCTTAAGTGTTTGCAACTCATGTCCAGCTACAGAGAGTACTTAAAGATGACAAACTATGCTTTGAGATCCTCCTGTTCATATACTCTTACAGAGTTTAATCCTATTCTCTGATGAACTAGCAGGCCCAGATATCTCACAAATTAGCAAATTTTATTAAAGCTCAGCTTTTCTTTCTAATTCTTATTGAAATTGGAGTTATCACTGACTAGAGGGATTCATTCTAATTAGATTCTTAATCAGAATAAAAATGATTAATTAGAAAATATACCTCTCTGGAGAATAGGGTGCATTCTCAAACGATTTTTGAACATCAAATACAATAATGCATTGCTTGAAAATAGAGTGTATAATTTACTTACTAAATTACAAAGCCATGTTTGGGGTAAAAAATATAGACCAAAACATCTTTGCTTTTGAAACCAATACTTAATAGCTGTTTGATCATTGCTCTTGCATTTATGTTCATATCTAATAGGGAGAGCCTGGTGCAATGGGATTGCCGGGACTAGAAGGATTTCCAGGCGTGAAGGTAAGCACAGGGGTTAGAAAACTGCTGATTCATTAAGCATTAAAAATGGTTACTGAGGTGGGCATTTGGCATAGTGGTTAAGATGCTGCCTGGGACACCCATAACTCATGTTAAGATGCCTGGTTCTAGTCTGGCCTTTCCACTTCTCATTCAACTTCCCGCTGATGGGAATCCTGAGGAGCAGCAGACAATGGCTCAAGGACTTGAGTTCCTGCTACCCACATGGGATACCTAGATAAAGTTCTAGGCTCTATAGTTAAAGCCTGTTTGAACCCCAGATGTTGCAGGTAGATGGAAGATCTCTCTCTGTCTCTCTATCTCAGTCTTTCTATGTTTCTCTGCCTTTCCAATAAAATGAACAATAATAAAAATGATTTTTAGAAAGCAGATGCAAAATCTCTTTTAAAAATATTTACTGTGTACCTGTTTTAGATAGGGGGCATACATAAAGGAACAAAACAGACAAAACTCTCCATGGTCAGGGAACATATATTCTAACAAAAGTACCTAAACTAAAAGGATACACATAATAAAATGTAAATAATATTGTTGGTAAATGCTATAGAAAGAAAGAAATTATAGAACACATTGAGGGGAATTAGAGTACTGGGGTGGAGAGAAGGGTTGTGTTTTTAAATAGGGTGCTCTCCAAAGGCAAGATCTGAACCAAGACTTGAAGGAGGTTACAGGAGGCAGCCAAGTCCCTTCTCGTCTGAATGAAGTATATTCCCAGAAGAGGAAACAATAGGTCTAAAGACTCTGGGACATGGGGTGTTCTGTTACATCCAAGAAGGCGAGCTGAGTGAGGGAGGAGAGAGTTGTAGGAGTGGTCAGAGAGGTGAGGGAAGGAGTGGCCCCATCAGAGGAGCCATGTTACTCAAAGTGTGACCAGCAGAGGACCATTGCCAGTCTGCAAACTTTGTTGTAGGTTCTA